GAACAGGCAACTGGGACAAAAATAGAGAACTACTTTGACCAATGTGTTTCAATCAAACTTTTTCATCAAACACATTGTCTAAATGCATAAGCATTATGCTGTCACATGTTTGCATTTGACTGAAATGCATTTAGACTAATCAGTTTTGCCAAATTTTGTCCAATGTTTTTAAGATTGAATTTCCCTACAAATAGACCATGCATAAAGTGAACCTGTCGGAGCACGGTTTTATGGGAATCTATATGCAGCTATTTGTGCTATTTCTTAATACTGATATTTAGGTTCATGGTACATGCAGGACTGGGGACTCGCGGGGTTTTGCATTTGTCAGGTACAAATATCAGGATGAGGCTCAGAAGGCAGTTGAAAAGCTTGATGGTATGTGGGAAAATATATTTTAAATCATTATTGTAGGGGACATGTTTATGAATTTTCATATTTATTATTCTCTGGATGTATCCACCTGTGTAGGAAAACTTGTTGATGGAAGAGAGATAATGGTTCAGTTTGCAAAGTATGGCCCCAATGCTGAAAGGATGTAAGATTTTCTTAATACTCGAGATGTATTGTGTCCTTTTTTTTTACACATTGTACTTGAGTATAAAATTCTCATAGGTTAGGTTGCTTGCGAGGTATTGTCACTTCCTATTCCTTGAGTTAATATTTGTTTTCGGTCCCACTATTCTATATTTAATGCAATATTTTCCCTTACTAGTCACAAGGGAAGAATTGAGGAGCCTGTGTACAAGACAAGAGGACGGTCAAGGAGCCACAGTCCTAAACCAAAGTAATATCTCGCAATTCATTATATCTGTTAGCTACAAAAATGATTCTTTTGCTCTTTTAGGAAACATTTGGTTGCTACACTTGTAACTTATGTTTATCAAATTAGTACGCTGTTATATAACATGTATATTATTTTTGCCAAAGGAACCAAAGATTGCTCCATGAAGCTATTGCATTTTCTTGAATGTATTTTTTAATCATATTATAGTGTAGTATTTCCTTACATTTATATTTAGCTAAATGAACTATAGGTTGCTCAGTGGATCATCATTATTGTTGGAATTGGTATTTCAGGTATAGAGATCATTACAGTGACAGGGAATATAGAAGGAGAAGCAGGAGCAGAAGTAAAGGAAGGTATGAACGTGATCGCTACCGTGGAAAGGAACGAGACTATCCTCCCCGAAGCAGAAGTCGCAGTGCGAGTCCTGATAACCGCAAAGATCGTGGGAGAGGTAGATATGATGATGAGAGGCGCAGTCGAAGTCGTTCTTATGGAAGGTAGTCCACATCTCTTTGTGCATTTCATTTATCTGTTACATGTATTATTTGTCTAATTTCTCTTTTGTTTGATGTGGAAGTGCCTCTCCTGCTCGGCGCAGCCCAAGTCCAAGGAGGAGCCCATCTCCTCGCAGGACTTCCCCTAGGGATGGAAGCCCAAAAGCAGGGAATCACAATGAACGTTCTCTAACTCCGAAAAGTTTGTCACCCCGTGGGCGGCGGGCTGATTCTCGTAGCCCATCTCCTCGTTATGATGCTGATGTAAGTTCCAGATCTCTAAATGGGTGTTTGTAGGAGCAAAAGCTTTTGCAATGTTGTAAATGAATTCTTTTTTGCAGGAATGAATTGAATGAGCAATTGATGGGTCCCCAACACGGGTCTGTTTCAGTTTCCTTATCCCAGAAGCGGGCAGTTCCATATCAACACCGAACCGTCTGTTTAGTGCTTTCTAGAAATGATTGGCCCAAACTTATTTTTAAGGTTTCTACTCTTTTGTTGTACTTGATGCATTGCAATACTTAGTTATGATAATAGTTGTGTACTGTTGTCTGTGGATTGGCAACTGGTTTTGGTTTACTTTACTGTTAGCATTGTGGCTATGCGGTGGACTCGGAATTTCTTCTGCTTTCGTAATCCTCTGCTATTTACTGCCATTTTCTTTACAAGTATCCTTGCAGTGTAGATTGTGAATGGAGATTTTTCTTGAATGCTAATGAAAAACCATCTGCTGGCCTTCAGTAGTTTGTACGAGAAAAGTCAATGTGGCTGAATGGCAAGATGAAGCAGCAGCTGGTTGATGCTGTTTCTGCTTAGCTGTTGGTTAGCATGTTTTTGTTGCTGGCAAACTACCATTAAACAAAATTTCTGACTTGTCATGATTGGTAAGGTTAGAAATCTTGCAAATTACTGAAGTCAAATTGGGATTAGAGCATTTTAACCTTTTCCTGACTTTAGATTTTGGCCATGGTAAGGAGTTTAAGCTGTGATCATATAAAAGATGGAAGAAGTTACTGCTAAGTGTAGCTGTTGCAGTTGATTCAAGAACTCAATATGCAGCTATGCTGGTTCTAATTATATCCCAAAATCAACTGGTTTTGAGATGGTGATTTTATGATCTTACTCTAGTGCTGGCTGGTTCATTGTTAGGTATCTTCATTTTATAGGTATTAGGATGGTAGTTTATTGTGTAGGTGTTGTTTTTAATCTATATATAGTGGGACCTATAATTAAACCTAATGATAGTTGCACTATCTTACAGCATGAGTTTGCGGCTGTAGCTGTGATGTGATAGCTGATGTTTCTGTAGATTGGTTGTTGCTGACTTGCTGTGTATACCTTGGTGCTAGCTTTCCAATCTGATGCTCCTGTTTTTTGCTGTTGATGAAATGCTTTGGTACATATGTTGCTGCGGGATCCTGTGGATTCTTCATCCATTTGCTGATCACTTCCCACTTGCAGGATTGCAGGCATTTCTTTGTTTTGAATTTTGAATAACCTTGTGCTGAGTTTCCTTTTTTTTTCCAAACATGAGAAATAACTTGCTACACTATAGACCCATCATCTTCACAGCAACTGAGCACTTCAGTTAGGTTGCATTTCTTTCTACTAATTTATTGTTTTGTGATCTTCAAATTGGGTTTTGATTTACTCTGCCCATATTGGTTCTGTTGTGGTGTCAAATTTTGTGCCAGGTTGGTATTGTGAGCAAAGGACCTTTGTATGATGAATTGAAACTTAATTTCCAACTTTTGCTTAATTGTCCAAGTGGGGTTTCAGCCAATTTTTATATTGTGGACTGTACTTACAATGTGCTTACTTGTGTTTTTAAGTTACGTGGTCTGTTCTGTTAATTTCTTGTACAGTAACTTCGATTGCAGTTTGCTATATGCAATGGTTATGCTCTTATGATGTACGCACATATGCTCTTAGGGACCGTACGTACATTTTCAAGTTGGAGTGTTTTTGATGTTTTTCTTTCAAAAAATTATTTAGGGCGTTTCTATGATTAAAAATATTTCAGAACTTCCTTTCTAAAGAGAAATAAAAACCTAATATAAATGTTTAAATTTGAAAAAGATTGTATTATTATTTTGAGAGCAAAATATTGTATTCTCTGTTTCATTTTATCAAATTAATAATAACTATTTATTTTATTTATATTGTCTTTAATATCTTTTTTTACTTATTTTTTAATTTGATTTGAACTTTTTTTATTATTATTTTTTTTTGTATTTAATAGTACTTTTAATGTTGATTATAAATATATATAAATTTTGTATAATAATATTAAATTTATGAAAAATTTAATTAAAAATAAATTCAGTCAAGTCTTGTTAATTGAACCAAATATATAAAATGGGGTGGAAGGGAGTATTATGTTCTCATGTCTCGTTAATTTGAGTTTGCTATATGCTTATATGAGAGAACTAAAAATTCACTTGATATGACATGCTCATTTAATGTGTCGTAACCCATTTGTGGACTATTCTTTATCCATCTTGTTTGGCTCATATTAATTAACTACATATGCTAAAAAGGTAAACAATCTATGACAATGAACCATTCTCCCAACTTCAATGAAAGACCGTAAATTTAAATATTGAAGTAAACAAATATTTAAAATTTTTTACTTTATTTTTTGTATCCGTATAATTAAGCTAATTAAGTTAAGTATTGTAGTACCTGTAGTGTGCACATTCTGTAAAGGTGTACGTTGTGACTGAATATTATCTAAACTAAAAAAAAGGAATAAAACAGAAAAATACTTATTATTGAGTTAATGTTTTTTTTTTTTTCAATGATATGTAATCTCAACTCTGTTTTTTGGGTTTCCCCCTTAATGAAATTAAAAAAAATGTTTTTTTTTTTTTAAGTAAGTTGTGTAAAATTGTTTTATGTAAAATGATCTTACACAATATCTCTTCAATTTTTGCGATTAAGGATAATGTTAATTGGGACCACCACAACTAAGCCACTATGCAATTAAACTATATTACTAACCTTATAACAATTACCCCCATTGGTAGTTTTTTTTTTTTTTTTTGGGAATTTTTTGTGTTGGATGAAAGAGAGCATATAATAGAGAAGCTTTTGCAAAACAAATTTTTGAGGAAAAAAAAAACACAATTGAACTTGTGCAAGTTCAACAGGTGCGTGTTCTTCACATACTGTAAAGTAATTTGAGTGGCCATTGTGACCACTCCAATTATCCTCCCTTTTGATTTTTTAAGGCTCACAAAAAACTTGCTAAAAAATTCATCAATAACGTTATTCTAATGCATCCACAAATTCACTCTCCCCACGCTTCCATGCTAACCCAATTTTACGCAATTTCCCTTTAAAGCTCCTATCAACAGTAATCTTTGTATGTTTTGGTTTTTCCTACCTTATCAATAACACATGCTTGAATTCATCTTGAGACTACACAAAGTATCTCAGGCTTCTTTTCCTTTCAATACTGTTTCTTTCAAAATGTCAATGAAAAATGAGCTAAGCAAAAGTACAGGCATTTCTTAGCAGGGAAACATATCTGCTACCATTGTTTACTGCCCTCAAAAACAATCTCCCAAAACTTGCTTTACATACAACACCTTCACCAAAAGATAAGCCCACATTCCACCATTCAGATAAACCATAAGTCACTACTTTGAACTTTGAAGGTATATACTACTAATTAAACAACAACATTTCACCACCATATATATATATATCTATCATTTCTTTTTCAAGATGCTTTGAGACAAAATCTTCTTGCAGAATGGATTGCTTCGCAAAAGAGCCATGTGAGGCCTCACTGCATCAACTAGCAAAGCGCGGAGTGGTCCCTATAAAGTGAAGGAAGTTTAGAATCAAATGGGAGAGTTTTGAGTGAAGAAATGAAATTTAGTTCTTATAACCGTATATAGTAGGGATATGAGAAGTGGTTTCAAACCTTGGCGACTCCGAGGGCAGATTGAATGACATAGTTGGCGAAAGGGTCTTGAAGCAGCTGTTCAAATTGAGGCACTGAGATCAATTCGTGAATGATTATTGCCCGGCTTTCTTCTATAAATTTCAAGCACTTCTCGACGACATGGCTGCTAAACTTTTGCTTCGAGAGGTGTACAAAGTGCCCTTCAAACTGGGAAAGCAGCACGGAAGCAATGGAGTGGTTCTTGAGCTCTATGATATATTGGATCACGTAATTTCTGCAGATTATGGGGCATCATTAAGCTTCTAGGATAACAGATAAACTCAAAGAGAAAGACGATTACAAACTAGAATTCAAGGGAAAGGCAATCTCAGCTTGACTCATTTCTGGCTCTGAAATGCCAGTAAGAGTATATAAAGACAGATAGTGAGGGTTCACATCTTCATCAATCATCAGAATCGAACAATTCTATATTCAATATGTAAAACTATTTCTATGTATTAAAGATGGCTCTAAAGTCTGCCAGTTTAAAGAACAAAAGGATGAAAGTTTTGGGGATTTGGGTATCATAGTATTTCGTCTAGCTAGTAGTCACGAGACAAGAAATCAAGAAAATTAAATATGTTACTAAGGTGTTCTTACCCAAAAGCATCTTGAGCAAGGATAAGAGCGTGAAATGAAGTGCATGCCAGCAACTTCTCGCGATGTTTTCCACTTGCATAACTGATACATTTGTTTAGCACACAGCATCCATACCGGTGAGTAGCAATCTCAAAGCAGTATTTTGCAGCAGCGTTCATAATAAACTGCGTGGAAAATTCATAGAACCAGCAAAACATTCATAGCTTACCCAAAAGAATAATAACACACTGAAGTATATATAGCAACAATAAGGAAATGTATGACAAGAATGGAATTGTGCTTATGCAAAATGATCATATACTTTTTTGTTCAAAACAAAACTTATATTCAACACGTTATCTTCAGTGTTATTAGTGGTTTTCCTACTTTTATATGCATGCAAAGGTTCAAAAATTTGTATCCGAGGACATCATATACCTTATTATGTTCCTTGCTAAGAGATTGCAAGAAACGCTGCAGGACATGATTCCCGTTAAGATCAGTAGCGAGATCAAGAAAACCGGGTTCAAGGGCCTGTATAACTAATGAAATTTCCTGCCTTGTTTTCATTGTCTCTATTAGCTTCTGCACAGCACGAGTCCTGATACCACAGCACCGAATCATATTAGTGACAAGAAAACGGGTTTGGGATATGTAAAAAGCTCGATAAAAGAATAGATAAGAAACCCGAGAAGCATTTACCCATGTGAGTCCAATGAAATTCTCACTAGCTGGCCTGGCTCTCTAGTCACCCTGAGCACGATTTGCATCCTCTGCTCATCGTTGCAGAAATTCAATAACTTCTGCACTAGGTAGTTCCCGAATTGATCCACCATAAATTCCCCGATTTGATCAATGATTCCATCGAATATTAACTGCACATCTTGAAGGGTTCCTTGATCAAATGCCCTCTGTAAAGCCCTACACCCAAGCTGATCCTTTGCTATTTTACATATATAGTCTTGAACACTCCCCAATGAATTATGGACTGGTTGCAAATGTATGGGACTAGTAACCGATATCCCATGAGAACTATGTCTCAAATCAACTTCACAAAAGCCTCCATGTTGGCATTCTTCATTGTATGTTTTAAGGTTTTTCTCTCTGAATCTTGGCATTGACACCTCATTCATTTTCTGAGCCTTTAAACAGTTTAAATTCTCATTAGCATAACATTTTAGAGCTTCTTCTAGTGAAATGAAGTTTTGTTTAGAACCCACAGTTTCACAATCCCTTGAATTTGGCAAAAAAGATGGAGGAGGATCAACCATGCCATTTGGCAACCCTCTAGGCCTTTGGTTAAGAACTGGAGTTGAACAGTCATATCCAGAATTCCATCCCTGCCTGTGTTTCATCAACTGAGAACCAAGAAATGGGCTTAACAGCTTGTTATCTCCAACACCACCATCATCAATTACAGGATACTGTGATGCCCAGAAACCTTCATCACCATTAGCCCCATTCTTGAAACAAGGATGGTTCAATCCAAGTCCACGGTTTACCAGCTCGAAGCGTTGGAAATGGCTTAAAACATTATTACCTGCACCCCCATCACCATTTCCATGGTGCCCTGGAGAAAAGAAACCTTCACCATCACCAAAACTTGGTCTCTTCTGCCATTTACTCATCTCCAAGAGATGATCCATTCTCTCCTTCTGAGAATCTGAACAAAATGGTCTCACTGAATCAAATGAATACTTATGACTAGCTAATGACACTGATTCAGACCCTTTAAGGTTACCAATATTACAGTTCAAATTACTCCCCACTGTTCCATTCATCCAAGCCTCCTCAAATCCCACCCCAGATTCATTTGATCCTAATCTCCCATTACCACATCCACCATACTCCCCTGCTCCCTTCCCAATATGCATTCTGTAAAGATCATCACACAACCCCCGTTCAACTAACCCCTCAAGATTTTGTTCATTGTAGCCATTCAACAGCCCAGAAACACCACTCCTGGCATTCAAAGCTTGATTCACAGAGTGATCAAACGGGAGGAAAGATGAAGACGACGAACCGTCTCCCCAGAGCCCATACCCACTGGTCAATGATCTCGAAGGATTCTTCACACCCATTATCACACCATTAACGTAATCACTTCCATCAACGTACTGATTCTTCACACTCCCTTTTCCTTTAGCACCATACATCACTGCATAGGACCTTATATTACGGCAAAAATAGATAAATACGGACCTAATACCCCACTAAATAAACAGAAAGAAGACGAAGAAGAAGCTACCCAGAGCGCGCGAGTATACGTATATATGGTGTGTGTGTATTATAGATATAAGCGAAGCTGCAATGGAATTTTTTTCTTGGATTTTGGGGATTTTAAGGAGGGGTGGTTGCAGATGGATATTCGGTAGAGAATGGAGAAGAAGGTGTTTGTTAAGGGGCGTGCTCACGCCATTAAAATGAGGAGCGGAGCATTGAAGCTCTGCGTGTGTTGTGTATGCCCACTACAAGACGCAGAGAGAAGTGGCAGTGTGCAGAGGAGAAAAAGAAACAAACTTGCAGAGAGAAAGAGAGGTGGCTTGGCTGTTGGCTCTGAATCTGACAACTATGAACAAACATTTTTTGTTTTATTTTTATCAATTTTTGTGCATTAAAAAAAGGAAATTATAAGATGTAGGGTTTGATTTATACCACGATATGTCATGGGTGGATCCTAACTATATGAAATATATTTAAGTCCGGATTAAGATGTGTGTTTGCAATTGTGACTCTTATACTTGATATCACTCTAAATAAATAATACTCAGTATAAGTTTTAAGTTTGCGCAATAAGAATGGTGTCGACGGGCACTCATAAAAATATTACGGAGTATTACTAAAAATAAACATATAATTTAAAATATTCAATACTACTTTAGTTATCTTGTTACTTGTTATTTTTAGTATGTGGTGTTTTTACATTTTAGCATTGTTGAAAATGTTTAATAGCATCCCATATAATGTTGGCATTGTGATTTGTTTATGTGCTAAACTCGTGACGATTTATCATGGCATGGTGTTTTGTTGGAATATAGGTTACAGAAACGTTGAACTAGAGAGTGGTTTGTTAGTGGGAGTGGAGAAGATCGCCTTTAGAGGGAACGCGAATGATCTTCGTTGTACATGATTAATGGCATCAAGTGAGTCACGAGTAGAGAGTAGGAGTGTATAAAAAGGATAAGTTGTTGTGCATATAATAATTAATACAAATGCGAGTGATGTATAAGATTGGTTTCGTGTTTTGCCATGCTCGAATGGAGTTAGACCTATTTTGGCAGTTAATAGCAAAAAAAAAATAATAATAATAAAAAAAATCTTGGCTTCAAAAGCACATAGCGGGCACGTATAGCGCACGCATCCTCTAGGCACATATGATGCGCACACCAACATAGATTTTTCTTTTTCTTCTCTCATGCGGATCCCACAGAAAAACCCAATTATCTACACACAAAAGGAATGTTATTATAAGGGTGGGTAAGACATGGATCTTATTTGGCAAACACGAGAATGATTGCATTGGGTATTCGTTCTTTTATGATAGGTGAATTTAGTACAAGATGCTTGCTTATCAAAAGCTTACAAACCTGAACCATTTAAACATAGCATGTAACAACCTTACAATGCGAGCCACCCGATAGCTAGTCAATTTTTCAACCTCTAACAACCATGTTGTGCCAAGTCTTGTTAGGCTGGATTTTCAGTGAAATTTGGATCGATATTCTCTAATGGACAAATTGTTAGGATAATCTTAATTGGACTAAGTTACGGTATGATTCAATTCTTGCCACGAATATTTTGAAATTAAATTGACTCAATTTATCTCTTTTAAGATTTAATGGACAAATTTATAGAGGGTATGATATTATTTGGTAAATTCAATAAATTTTTATAGGATAATGAGGAGGTGGGGTGTGAATTTCTGAGAAATTTCAGAAAGAAAGGAGTGGGGGTGAAAACTGAAAAGCAGAGAGAAAAGGGACAAAAAAGACACACAAAAAAACTGATCGAATCAGCATGCCAGAATTTGGTTATTGAAAATATGAAAAGTTGTGTAAAATATAAAATATCTGAGCCTGTCCTTCAACAAATATTGTACACGTCACTATTTTTTTTTAAATAATTACGGAGTATTTTCTGGGGCACATTTTCAAATTATCATTTTTCTTGGGTATTAAGCAAGTATTTCGACCCCAGTTCTGCGTGGCGACAATTGCATGATCATAAGTACGAGGTTGATATTCCTTGGAATTTCGTGACCAACATTAAATTTAGCATTTCTATTTTTGTTTTGTGACGGATTAATTATTAGTGTCTATAAGAATTAAATTCGTGATATTTTAATATAAAAGTTCCGACTCACTAACTCAACAATGTTTTTTTTTTAATACGAAAAAAACTTTAATTATATTCACTTATCTCTAATTCTCTATTTTAGAAAAGAAATCCATCATATCTCATCAACACTTTTTTTTTTTGGGTGTCTGTAGTCACTACTTGAATATACGCTTTGAGTGAAACTTACATTGTGACCCTAACCAGCAAAGAACTACAATGAGGTAAACAAACTTACGTTGCTCATAACTAACCGACGCGAACTTATAAAATCAATAAAAAAACTTTCAAAAAAAGTTAAACTTAGAATCTTATAATTATCAAATTTACGTACTATTTAACTAATTTGACTGAGATTGAATTTACTCTTCATTAACACATCATAGTAGGTCAAAAACAACTTTAAAAATGGTACTACACTACTACGTAAAGGAAGCCTCCTTTTTCTATTTTTCACTCTGGTAAGTCAGATTGAAAAATAGTGTTTGTTCATAAAGGAAAAAATTTCCACTACTAAGGAATATCAGATTTTGATCAACACATAGTTGATGGTTTTTATTAATGGAAATGAACATTACATTAATGGGGATTGTACTTTGCTTACTTGCTTTAGGCGCTCTCGTCTTTACTCTTTAGAGCATCCACATTTGTTGGGGAGAATAGGGGATAATGTAAGAGTGATTAGGAAAGAGAAGATGGGAGGGGAGAGAAAAAAAAAAGAAAAAAAAAAGGAAAATTAATTATTTAAAAAAAAAAAAAATCAGACTGTCAGGCGCGCCGTCATGCGCACTGGTGACAGCCACCAGTGGTGACTTTTGTGGTGGGTCCCACCATTTCTACATTATCTCTTCATTTGCAGACCAATTATTTCTCACATTAGTTATTATCTTGGGTGGAGAGAATTCATTCTAAAATATCTCCCTATCATCCACAAATGTAGATGCTCGGCGACTAAAACAAATACTCCCTAACAAACATAGGTCTAATGATTATTCATGTGTTTACCATTTTTTAAAAAATCTAAATTTACATATTTATATAAAAATATCTTTCTCTATAAACATATTCTTTTGAATGGTTTATTACGTTATTGATGGTTTTAATGAAATCGAGTCCACCATAAATCGGGTATAAGAAATATAGAACGGAATAAAAGAACTATTATTGCCAGTGGGGCGCAAGGCCCACATAAACGCGCACAAGCCCAATGTCGCAGGCCCGAAACAATAGTACAGGAAAGTTATACGATGAAAAGGGAAATAAATGGATAGACAGAAACCTGAATTACATGCATAATACCATAATCGATCTTTGGACCAATTAGGAGAGAGAGAAGACTCAGACCGCCAGGCTACCAGGTTTTTTGTGTTTCTTGCCCTCCCCTAAACTGACCGCAACCCCCCTTTTATACCCTCCCAGGACTTCCGCATACCACCCACGTGTACGACATCTACAGGCCTCCAGCTCCCACCATACACGTGTCCTCGCCTCTCCGCACGTACCCCTAACTGCCTGAACGGGACCAATCTTATCGCGCACTATCTGGGATTCTTGCTCCTATACACACCGCCCTCCGTCAGCTGCCCTTCCGTGTGCAGCATGCATGCACCAGCCGCCATTCTACCCACATGCATGCACGTACGTAGTCTCCAACAGCGTGCATGCAACCGTCACCCGTACGCGCAGCTGCCGCCTTGTACGCACGCAACCATCATCCATACGCGCAGCCACCACCTTGTACGCATGCAACCGCCACCCGTGCGCGCAGCCGCCACCTTGTACGCATGCAACTGTCATCCGTGCGCGCAGCCGCCATCTTGTACGCATGCAACCGTCATCCGTGCGCGCGGCCGCCACCTTGTACGCATGCGATCACCTCGCATACACGCGTGCATGCATGTTTGCGAGGTCCAAGCGTACGTATAGGCATGCATGCGAGCCCATGCGTGTGAACCCCCCTCCTCATCCCTTTGGGTTCACACTCTCTAATCTACATGGGTCAGGCCCATTACATTGTTTTCCATCATAAGTCCCCCACTTCTATTAATCATTGGTTAATGATTAAAAGAAGTAAGACCCAGTCCATTACGCAAGGTCCAAATTCCATGATGAAACCCTGGAATTAAATGATTTTAAATATCCAGTTCCTCTCTCTTTCTCGATCAATTGCGACACCTATTATTCCCTCTCCAACGCAACATCTCCCTTCTTCTTCGCCACTACCCCCCCGGAAACCCCGTCTCCTCTACCGCCCATGCATCCCCACCACGTCAACAGCGCACCCGATATCACCATCACGTTATCGCCTTCTTCCTTTGTTGTACGCTCACTGACTGCCGCCAACAGCATGCATCCTGTCGCCTCCTCTTCTCCCAGCCACACTCAATGTCTTGCCACAGGTGCCGCCGCGACGACCAACACTCCCCCGATTGCTCCCTCCATGCCTTTTCCTTCTGTGCTTTCGCTACATGGTCGATAATATGACTCGTATCGTTTTTCATACTTGTATTTTGTGTTCCTCTGCTGTCATTGCCTGCAAAATTAGATGCGAGTTTTGTGGGACTGTGCCACGTTCACCCGTAATAGCCTCTTTTTTTGTTTGTTTGTTTGTTTTTGTTTTTGGCTTGCACGCTGGGCTGCGTACCTTTCCCTGCAGGCCCAGGTGGATGTATGCTCATCGTGGATGACATACTAGTGTGTGGGTTGCCTGCTACCTCATGCTGGCACCACACACTATACCTTTTTTTTTTTTTTTTTTTTTTTTTTTGGGTGGCACGCTGGTTACGTACTTTGTTCCGTAGGACCAGGTGTGGACGCGCGTGTGCGCTATTAAAATTAAAATGCAGATAATCTTTAAAGGCGAAGTATGTAACGCAAGAATTCTAAGGGGTACCTTAGAAGATTATTCTACTGCGGGGTTCGCCCCCCTCTTCCCCGGCCTAGTAGGTTCCTCGGCCGGTCGAGGCCTCTCGGTGGGAGCTCCTTCTTCGTACCCTTTCAATCGATTTGCGTCATCAGCTTCGGCATACCTGTCGGCCTTCGCCATCAGCGCTGCGTAGGTATCGAGGGTTTTGCGTCGAAGGCTTTTGTATAGATCCCCTGCCCTTAGGGCGTCGACGAACATGACCACGCCCGATTTGTCGTCGATGTTTTCTACATTCGCTTCCTTCGCCCGCCAGCGGACCAGAAAGTCAGTTAAAGACTCTCCGACTCCCTGCTTCACCGTAGTGAGGTGAGTGAAATGCTTTCGGATCTTTCTCCCCCTCATAAAGTGTGTAATGAACTTCACAGCCAGGTCATGGAAAGAGTCCACGGTCCCTCCTTTGAGGCTCGTGAACCAGCGTTGTGCCTGGTCGACAAGAGTGGAGAAGAAGGCTCTGCACATCATGGCTTCCGAAGACCCATTAGCATCATGGTGGCCTGATAAGTCATTATGTGCTCTTGTGGGTCGCCCTGGCCGTCGAAACGTGTGATGCTGGGCGGCTTGAAGGTGGAGGGGATGGGCTCCCTCATGATTCTCCTAGTGAAGGGCGGGGTGACCTCAATCTTTGAGACGGGTAGTCCGCCCCCTTCATTCCACCTGAGAACCTCGGCTATCCTAGCCTCCACACCTTTCGGCCACCCCCCAGCTATAGGGCGAACCAGGTATCCGCCACCGGGGTCCGCCGTCACGGCCTGGTGGGCACTTTCTCCTTCTGACTCGTCATCGCAGGCGTGCCTGTCCGCATCGTCTACTCGGCCCCACTCCGAGCCTCGGTCTTGGGGTGCGATCCTCCTGTTGCCCACGCTGGCGTTGGCCACGGGCTTCTTGCGTCGCCCCGGGCCATGATGGGGGAATCAGGCCTCGGGGGGCCGCAGGCCCTGCATTGTTGGCCTCGCGGGCGGCCTTTTGCGTGGGCGGAGTTGAGTGGGCCCGCCGGACTCCTCGTCCTCCGTCGGGGGGCGGGATCCGCTGTCCCGCGTCGGAGACTGGCGCCCTCAGGAATCGGCTTTGGGATCTCATGATCGTCTTCGGGAATTGGGCGTATAACACAGTATTGCAAGGTAACGGGTTTTGAGAACACGAATCTGTGCTTCTGAGTGATCCTGAGGTCGAGAGTGCGTGATAGAATGTAAGAGGATGGGTAAAGCTAGGGACGCACGCTTTTTGTAACGATCTCCACAGATGGTGCCAATGATGGTTTTAATGAAATCGGGTCCACCATAAACCGGGTATAGGAAATATAGAACGAAATAAAAGAGCTATTATTGCCAGTGGGGCGCGAGACCCACATAAACGCGCACAAGCCCAATGTCGCAAAATAAAAGAGCTATTATTGCCAGTGGGGCGCGAGACCCACATAAACGCGCACAAGCCCAATGTCGCAGGCCCATAAACAATAGTACATGAAAGTTATACGATGAAAAGGGAAATAAACGGATAGACAGAAACCTGAATTACATGCATAATACCAGAATCGATCTTTGGACCAATTAGGAGAGAGAGAAGACTCAGACCGCCAGGCTACCAGGTCTTTTGTGTTTCTTGCCCTCCCCTAAACTGACCGCAACCCCCCTTTTATACTCTCCCAGGACTTCCGCATACCACCCACGTGTACGACATCTACAGGCCTCCCTCTCCCACCATACACGTGTCCTCGCCTCTCCGCACGTACCCCTAACTGCCTGAACGGGACCAATCTTGTCGCGCACTATCCCGGGATTCTTGCTCCTATACGCACCGCCCTCCGTCAGCTGCCCTTCCGTGTGCAGCATCCATGCACCAGCCGCCATTCCACCCACATGCATGCACGTACGTAGTCGCCAACAGCGTGCATGCAACCGCCACCCGTACGCGCAGCCGCCGCCTTGTACGCATGCAACCATCATCCATACGCGCAGCCACCACCTTGTACGCATGCAACCGCCACCCGTGCGCGCATCCGCCACCTTGTACGCATGCAACCGTCATTCGTGCGCGTAGTCGCCACCTTGTACGCATGCAACCGTCATCCGTGCGCGCGACCGCCACCTTGTACGCATGCGATCACCTCGCATACACGCGTGCATGCATGTTTGCGAGGTCCAAGCGTACGTATAGGCATGCATGCGAGCCCCCCTCCTCATCCCTTTGGGCTCACACTCTCTAATCTACATGGCCCAGGCCCATTACATTGTTTTCCATCAGTTATTGTAATATTTAGTCCACTATTAGTATATAACTCTTATATATTAACTACTATATGTCAAAATATATATTTTTAATAGTGAACATTACACCGAATGTATGTGATTTATTGGGTAGATCTCGTGTTAATGTTGACATATTGTCATATAGCTGCGCAACCAGTTTTTAGTGGCATATCATTTATAGGTCAAACTAATTTAATTTGATTCTGACTGAACGAGTCGATTATTAATTAGCTAGTAAATCTCTCGGTCAAGTCAAGCTAGTTTAGTCTTTTAGAACGATGATCCTTTATATACTTGATAGTTGATACATGAACTACACTCTTTAAGTTAGCAAGTTAGTTTTGTTGCCTCATAACTCCAATTATTAAATACAAAATTTTGAATTAAAATTTTAAACAACAAACTTAAAGAAAATAAGTGAATTTCATTTTCTACATTCATCATAATTTCTTTAGTACATAAAAAAGTGGAAGTATTTAACAAAATTTTGACAGCTCCTTTTTTTAAAATTTTTGATGAATCATAGTTGCAATATAGTGCAAGGTTCTAAATTTAGACGAGGATAACATTTTATTTTCTAGTAAGTTATAGTTGTTGTATAAAACGAAATTCTAGATTTGACTGATGACGTCCACATTGTTATAGAGGATGAGAACCTTTTGTTTTTGTTTAAACATAGGACAATTTATAGTTATGAAAGATAAGCAACTTTTTTTTTAGTGACAATTAAAAAATTATTCACATTTAAACAATACTAATGTCAAAAGTAGGGATGACAATTTCAATCCGACCCGTGGATATCCACCCGAATCCACCCCGCATGGATTAGGTTTTTTTGGGTGATGGTGGGTGGTGGGTCGGGGGTGGGTCTTAAAAAAGCAAACCCGCGGTGGGTCGGGTTGGATTCGAGTTCTATGTACAAGACCCGTCTAGAACCCCACCCGACCCACCATGTGTGTGTATATATATATAATAGTAAAATAAATACTAGTATGTAGTTATTTATAAAAGTTTATATAACTTCGTGTATCTTTTTACTATTTTTTATATCAAAACTACTAAATTTATTTTTAAAAATTAACAATTTAGTTATTATATTTAAATATTTCTATTATTTATGTTTTAGTACCACTAATGGATTTTATTTTTTTTATTATGTGTAAATAATTTAAATATTATTTTTGGAAAAACATAATAAGATGATAAGTGGCGGGTACCCGTAGTGGGCACCCGCACCCGGTGGGAGTGGGGTGGATTCTGAAAAAGTCCACCCGATGCGGGTTGGAGGTGGGGGTGGGTGGAGAAAATATAAGGTGGGTCGGGTGATGGATGTAGCCCTCCCCAATCCACATCCAACCCATTGTCATCCCTAGTCAAAAGAGTTATGTGTTACACCCTTTTAGTGGAACATGTAATTGGAGCGAAAGTTTTCTATATTATTAAAAATAGGAAGGACAATTAAACCCAATTCTGATGAGAAAAATCGATCCTCTCCCATACACTGTCCCGAACCCCGTTCATGATTTTCCGAATTATATTATATTTAAAAAAAGAAAAAAGAAAAAAGAAAGAAAGAAAGACATCCAGAATAATACTTTCGTACTACTAAAATGTCGGGCTTCAGCTCAAACGCGTCCGCGTATATATTCCCCCCATCGAAAACTGAATCGAACCGTGAAGCTTTGCTCCGGGAGAGCTAACGACAATGGCGACGGCCGGTTTGGGCTACGTATCCGCTGTGCTGGTAACGAGAAAACTTGGTTACAACTCGAAATTCAGCTTCTCTCCGCTCACTCCCAAAGCCAATCGACTTTTCGCGGTTAAAATTCGCGCCTTATCAACTACCTTCGTCGAAGACAAGCCTGTAATTGTTTTCCATTTCCTATGAATTTTGAATTTTTTTTTCAAGGAAACTGTGAAACTTATGCTGAAATGTTATGGATTTTCGATTAATTTTGGCTTAAATTCACTGCAGCCTTCAATATGTTGCAAATTTGGTGAGTGAAATTAAGATTAAACGATGTTGTTCTCTCTTCTGTGCCGAGTAGAAAACTTGAAATATGGATTTATGCAAACACCGCTGTTAGATTAGTATTTATGTTGTCGTTGTGCTCACATAATGTTCTCCATGGTACTATGTTAGGTTCGTCTTATAGATGAAAAGAAGGTGGAAATACGGACAAACCTTTTAGCATGTCCCATTTGCTACGATGCCTTTACTTGGAATGGTGATCCGGGGTTATCCTTGTAAGTTATATGAATCTTGAATTAAGCATATGAGTAATCTCATGCTTTCAATTTTCTTTATTCATAATTGATGTCATCTTTAGTTTATCATTTGGAAATGAGAATTGAGTAGGCCCTAACTATAGGAGGCCTGTATCATACTCAGATTAATCCCTCTTTGCACCGGGCTGGTCCAATTAAGGGGCAAAATGTTACCTATATTGGGTTTTCCATATGAGTGGGGGTTTTGAACTCCCGATTCCTCTTAAGGGATGAGAGTGCACGGCCACTCACGCCAACCAAGCTGGTTTGAGTACGATTTCTTTGATTATACTTTTGTCTGATGATTTTTGCTGCAGGAGTTCTATGGCTCAGTCTAACTTAGAATGCAGCACCTGCCGGAAGAAGTACTCTGGCAACGAGACACATGTTGACTTGACAATTGCTGGTGGTGGCAAGGCTTATGGAGAAGCCCTGGCAGCTTCTACTGAGCTTTTCAGGTATTGTTCTGCAATCCTGCTTTAAAAAAAGTTGCGTTTAGACCACAATATTATATATTCATGACATTGTTGTTATTGTGGATCTTACGTCTCTAGGCAACTTCTCATTTCTATTGCAAGAAAGAGGGAAGGATGGTTGTTCTTCAAGAAGAGCAACTCAAAGTTGTGTAGTTCTGGTTTATATGTAATTTATAACATTCTCTTGGAAAAGACAAGTTTCCATCAACATTAGTATGGATAAAAAGTGGTTGTTTTGACCTTCCATTTGGGAGAGCCACAACTATACCGCTTGACCACAAGGTCTTTGGCCAACATGGGTATAAATATAGACTTAGCACTTTGTATTACCCAACATTTATATTTGCTAAATTGATATGACCAAAAAAAAAAAAAACGTAAAGTAAAGCTGGTTGAAACTTGAGTGACATCCAACAATTCATTATGATTGAATCTTACATGAGTTATTAATGTCCCTTTGGGTTAACGAAATTCATATATTGCTGCTATGCAATTCATCTCATTTTGTGCTGTTTAATTTCATATGGTCTAACTCCATGCTTTGTTGGAACAGGCTTCCTTTGGTGTCCTTTCTTTACGAGAGGGGTTGGCGACAAAGCTTTTCTCTATGGGGTGGTTTTCCTGGCCCAGAAAAAGAGGTGCTGTGGTTTTCCTTTGGTGTCCTTTCTTTGGTTTTCAGCTAGGCTCTGAAAATTGAAATAAGAACATATTGGCCTGCTCTGTATGACTACTCATAGATATCTGCGATTAAAGGAAAAATTGCCCCATTTTGATTATAAACATGCATTATGGAGTGCATATCCTCCGTTCTTTTGATCTGAACTGCCAATTTTAAAGGGAAAACTCAATTGATGTGAACTACGAGCTAGTCATGTGGGTTCTCCTGTGTTCATCTCCCAATAAAGACTAATATTACTATACATATTTAATTAACATGCTAATTGGAATATAATGCTCTACTGCAGTTTGAATTGATGCAAGATTATCTTAAACCGGTCATGGGTGGAAATATCATTGATGCTAGCTGTGGAAGTGGTTTATTTTCAAGACTGTTTGCCAAGAGTGGGCTATTTTCTCTTGTTGTCGCTTTGGATTTTTCAGAGACCATGTTGCAGCAGTGCTATGAATTCATCAAGCAGGAGGAAAACTTTCCTAATGAGTAGAAACCCATCCCCTAATTCTTAGCCAGTTCTCTGGACATTTTTTGCATTTTCTTTTATAAGATTTCGTTTTGGATTGCCACAATTGCATCTTTAGTCTAATGGAGATCTGTTTTCCTGAAGGAACATAATCTTGGTTAGAGCTGATATCTCGAGGCTTCCATTTGCATCAAGCTCCGTGGATGCTGTGCATGCTGGTGCTGCTTTGCATTGTTGGCCTTCACCATCAGCTGCGGTAGGCATTTCTGATTTTTCTCTTCAATTTCTAACTGTTTTGGTTTATCCAAATAAGAAAAACTTGGACGTCAATTAGTCCTCGAGTGATGATGAATTATCACATTGTAGACAAATGTGGAGTACTATGTATATCCTATTGTTGAAGTCCCACATTGAACATATGGGTTTATAAAGTCATGGGTTAAACTAGCTAATTGATTGGATTCAGTCTTCTAGTGTAGTTTTGCCCATGTGCATTATAGTCCAGTTGAGTGATCTTAGTCCAATCTTAGATTATAATATGGTATCAGAGCCTCTGGTGGTGTGGAACTCAATACAGAAAGCATGGAGAGTATACGGGAACTTTTGGAGTTTTGGTCATGTACCCACTGTTCTTATGTTATTCATGTGGCTTCCGTATACTGATAGTAATCTATATTTTGGTAATACTGATTTCACAGGTTGCTGAGATAAGTCGAGTATTACGGCCTGGGGGGGTATTTGTTGCCACAACCTACATAGTTGATGGCATCTATTCATTCACCCCATTCGTAAGACCACTACGCGAAGTGAGTTCCTTGTCTTCTTTCTACTTTAAGTTGTCATTTCAGAATGTTCACATTCTTTTAAGTTATGTTTGGTGGATTTCATATATGATGACTTAGTGTTACTTATGGTTGCAGAATTTCGCTCAAATATCGGGCAGTCACATATTCTTGGACGAGAAAGAACTTGAAGATCTTTGCACCACGTGTGGGCTTGTGGGTTTCAAGTGCATCAGGAATAGGCGCTTCATCATGCTTACCGCTATGAAGCCTAGTTGATTGTTGTGGCTGCCAGTCGCGTAAACTACTACTACTTCTACAGGCTTTTCTTGTTACTTTTGTGTTCTTCCATTAGTACTAAGATGGAGACATCATTCAAGAAAGTTGCTAATTGCTGTGCATAGATTTACATAAGCAGAAGTGATTTCTGTTGAGAGAAGATTACATACAATAAACAAAATATGCTTTTGTGACAGTAATGTACCAAAATCATCAACAGTATATATGAAACCCTGTTTCTAAGACCATTCTCATATAATGTAAAAAACTATGGCAGTGATATCATCATTGCTGCAATGAATTCAATGGTAACTTGTTCGATATTCTTGGATTAACCGATACGATTGTGTATTATTACTAGCTAACTAACCTTGTGATTAATACCTTTTCATCACTGTCATCAAGATCAGGTCCATCCTTGCCATCCAGACGAGGCAGAACTTGTGAGTATTGTCCTCTCAGAGCTGAATTCCCCATGTTTAAGAGCTGCATTTCTGATCTTATCAGAGCTTTCATTCGTGCGAGGTCCCTGTCTCTCGGGTAGGTACAGTAGAGAAAAGAGTAGATGAAGCAACACAGCACCATCGGAGTTCCTATTGCAGTGAACAGCGCCTTGGCTAAAGAGGTAGCATTCTTTCTGTCAGTAGCAATGTTCTGTGCATCTCGGGGAACCGGTCTGTAGCCATAAACATTCTGGGCCAGTAACCCTACAACCGGAGGGGCAAAGGAAGACAATACGGATTCAAATGATCTATCTAGAGCATAGATACTCGTCCGCCTCTCCTCAGGTACAATCTCTGCAAAAATTGGACTAATGCCCACTCATTATAGCAGTCTAAAATTGATCAAGCATCGTAACTTAAGTCGGGGATGAAGATCTTTACTTGTTTGTAGCTGCAGAATTCCATGATATGAAGAACCCGGTAATGAGCAAGACTAGAGCATGCAGGAATACTGAGGATGGACCATTGGGTAATGCCAGCAAGAGAATTGCAGCGAGGGGGATAGCGGATGCTGAGCTTATTTGGGACAAGATTATTCGTCCATGATTTGGGAGACGCTGGGATAACAGGTCTCCAGCCCTGCCTCCAAACAGGCCTCCGATAGAACAACCGACCACAAATGTCCCTGTAAGAATGGCGGTCTGGAGATGGGAAAAACCAGTAAGCTCTAACCACATTGGGGTGAATGACAGAGCTGACCAGGGAAAAGAACCAGTAACACCCTGAGCTACAATTATCTGGAAAGATGGTATCTTCATGACTGTTTTCGCTTCGTGAACCAGGTCAGTGGCCTCCGACCAAAAGGATTTTCCGGCAGCTTCACCATCCGACCAAAAGGATTTTCCGGCAGCTTCACCATGTCGGCTATTACCTCTTAAACTGCCATCTGGAAAGTGAGGATCATTTGCAAAAAGGCGAACTAAAATCCCGACAACAACACTGATAACTCCTACTAGATGAAAGGAAACTCTCCACCCAGGAATCCCCATGAATGTAATGGGAGCTATCAGCAAGGCAAGTAATCCCCCAACAATGGAACCTATGTTGCTGGTGAACTGCAGCCACCCAAAAGCCATTCCTCGGTTGTTGTCATCTGTTGAGTCTGCTACAAGGGACTGAATTGCAGGTGCAACTATGGCCAGCCCTATCCCATTCAAGGCTCTGGATACTGCCACCTTATCGAGAAACAAAAACATAGCCCGCTTGGTCAGTTCAGTTAATTCCTGAGCGGTAAATTGTAGGTAAGACACAGAATCGAACCTGGCAGCCGCAGTGCGGGACACCTAATGTGGTGGGCAACACTTAGTCCTCCCACTTAATGGGCCTGACAGCCGCACTGTGAGAGTTACATATAATGTAGTGGGCACTGTTAGTCCTCCCACCTAATAAGCCTGGCCGCCACAGTGTGGAAGTTACAACAAATATAGTGGCACTACTAGTCCTCCCACTTAATGGGCCTTTTAGTCACCGCACCCACCACTGTCCTATCGAATTGGGGTGTGCGCTATCGCCTATCGGGCGAGGGAATTTCGCCTTTCGTTCAGAAACCAAAAAGGTGATTGGACATTTAATTCCTTGGAATTCATGTTGGTGATAAATGCAGGCAGTTGATAAGTTGATAAACAAGAACTGTTATTGTGGAAAATAATGGAACAGTAAAAGAAAATGAGAGACCTGGAAAAAGGAGGAGGAGAAGGCGACGAGGAAGGTGGCGGCGGCCCAGAGGAAAGCTCCATAGGCAATAACATGAGCTCGGTTATGGCGGACTGAAAGATAGGCTGCAAGAGGGTAGCAAAGAGACTGTACAATCGAGCGGAAAAGGGTGAGCGAGCCCAGGCGGGTAGGGTCGGCGTGAAGGGCCTCTCCGACCTCCTTGTAAACTCCGGGAAGCAATGACTCGTCGGCGCGTTCCATAATTCCGGCCAAATTCACGAGCAGTAAGGTCAGCGTTTCCGGTTTCAATTCCATTTTCCTGGAATGAACGAACTGATGAAATGCTAATTCTGTATTTCTTTTCTTGAAGATAGACCAAGGAAGAGCTGCAATTTTCAAAACCCGGAGTGAATACTGGAATGTTGGACCTTGGACAGGTGGTGTTTCTTGTTCTTGACAGATGTTTCATACTTTGAAAATCATGTCAGAGGTCTTCCATGGGAGCAAGAAAGCTTCTTTTTTATTATTATTATTATTTTTAGTCAGTTAATGGCGGTTGAAACATTCCATTGTTTCAAACACTGACTATTAGATCAAACAAACATTAATTTAGTACAAGTCAAACATTAATTTTAATAAGCACAGCTGAGTCACTTTTTCTGGAAATTCAGTCCACTGTCGCATATGCTCTTGGAGGTGCCATTTAGATGCCACTCTTGTCTGTCTTATGCGGGCCAACCCACTTGTGTGACAATTTAACAGTCGTTATATTATAGACCGTGGTGCATGTGCACCGACCGCGGTCAAAAACGGCGTCATTTCTTTAAGTAATGAAACGGCCCGCCGTTAGAGTTAACAAAGTCCGCTTGTTTGGTGTATTAAACACCAATTGACACTATAGTATATCTAAACCGACACTGCAGTTATATCAAAATGATACTGTAGTTATAGTGAAATGAAACTGTAGTGTATATAAAATGAAACTGAATAACATTTCACATATTTGAGTGTATATTGTACAATGAAGTTGTAATTATATCAAAATGATCATGTAGTTGTGTTTTAATGAAACTATAGTGTATATAAAATAAAATTAAATAACATTTTCACATATTTGAGTCTATAAATATCGAATGAAACTATAGTTATATCGAAATGAAACTGTAGTTGTGTTGAACTGAAACTGCAGTGTATACAAAATGACACTGAATAACAGAGTTACTTTTTGCAAAAGGGTGCGAAACGGTGGAAACAAACACGGTTTATTTTCATTTAAGTGCATAATATAATTTGCCCAATTTAAGAAATGGGCCTAACTAATTCAAATTGTGCTATTTAGGTTATTTGGACCCCAAGGAGTGTGTGTGGTGGGGGAGGTACCGCTAGCCCAAATGTGGCCCTTTATATTAGTTACCCTTTCAACATTTTTCCTCTTGAGATGACACTGTTTGATTGGATATTTTAATATTTAATTATAACTTTGGAATTTTGTCAAAAAAAAAATAAAATTATAAGTTTGGAATTAGCCAAATAATAGGCACACAATAATTATAGATTACATCATAAGAGAATTTAGAAGGATAAAAAAAAAACATTTTCTTTATTTTAAGACCGAATAATTTGGAGCATCAATAGCACATATGATCTAAAAGGAATTATTCTTCTCCCAAGGTTGAATCCCCAATCCCAAGGGCATTCCATACTCTGACCCGACAGAGCATTTGGGAGGATGCAAACCACTGTGACTCAATGGTTCAACAGACAGGGCCAAATGTCGGTGCGCACAAGGAATTTGTCCACTTTAAAAATAATTCCCACACGGACTAAAAGGAATCTGCCCACTTTGAAGAGGTTGTCCTAAGCAATCCAGATCTTGACAAGTTACATAAACAATTACAACTTTGTATTTGAGGGCCTAACGCCCTCTTCCCGCTCTTCCCTATCAAAACAATGCCTTAAAACCTTATTATCACTAAACAACACTGAACTCATCAAATACAATATTTCTCTATGTATTAGCCTCACTCTAATTTTCACATCTAAATTGTAACATCATTTATATACCAATTACTCTTAAACTTCCAACCCAACTTTTACGTACATTTCAAAACCATCATGTACTTTCATATAACAAATCGGAGTCAATTTATTATACCAATAACCTATAAAGATTTTTAGCATTCAGTGTCTAATTTGTCCCAATTTGCACTTGTATGGATAAAGCCTAAATTCGTGCTTGTAACCGAAGGCATTGAAAGAAAGGCCGGGGTCCTCGGATCACGTGACCAATCGTTCTCCTTTACGTATAAGACACGTGCGTCGCTTTTTCTCATCCAATCCCCTATTCCTCGATCACTTTGGACTTTTGAGGCGTTTAAACCTTGTTTCCTAAGCCTACCGATGTTGCCTTCCTTTTCATTCTTCCTACGTAAAACCATCTTCTCTGCTTCACAATCAAGATATATCTACGTGTCCTCCTTATCTTCTTCCATGCATGTACTTTTACAATGCAACTCTATTTCTTGCTTACATTAAAAACTAATGGGGATCAATTGAAATTGATTGAATTATTCTCATTTTACTAAGTTAATGGAAAATAGAGGTGTAATCAATAAAAAATAAGAGATTTTTTGAAAAATGGCTTCCTCGACCTTTTAATTTCTTTTGGAGAAGTCAAATTTCTTTTGGAGAAGTCATTTTCTGTTTGCAGCGGTGGAGCAGCCATTCATCTGCTGCCGCCGCTGCCACCACCACCATCGTTGTAAATTTTAAATATTTAAAATTTAATTTAAAATAATTATGCTCATTTAAAAAAAAAAAAATGAACCAAACACAACAAGATAATTTTCTGGAATGCAACCAAACACTGGAAAATAAAATATTTTCTGGAGAATGACTTATTTCCCAGAAGTAGGAGTCCACATAAGATGTAAAATACACTAAGACAAAGACCTCGTGCAACAATCTTAATTAAAAATGTGTTGAAAAGAATCAAACTCGTGACTGGATATAAAAATCAACATGCTCTACACACCTGTCCATTCCTTTTAAGGTAGCGAAAATAACTATTATGGTCCTGTTTGGTAAAATGGTTGTTAGCTGATTGTGTTAATTAAAGAGTATAAATAATTGATAACATTAGTTGATTGTAGAAAAGTGTTTGGTAAATTAGCTGTTAGCTGATAGATGTTTGGTATAATTTCTTTTCTCAAAAAGCTAATTGAAAAAGTTGTTTGGAGTAGCTTTTTGAATTTTAGCCTTTTGGATCGGAGTTGCAAAAAGCTAATTAACCAAACGTTGATATTGATATTTTAACTAAATCAAACAATTAATAGTGGTCAAATAATCTAAAATTAGCCTATATGCCAATTTCTTTTTACCAAACAGGGCCTATATCAACAATTGAATGATGAATTATATGGAACACCCTACAACACCCGTCAAATTGTGAGGTGAAACACATTTTCTTAAAAAAATGTGTATACACCAAACATGAAGCCTAACAACCTCCAATACCTAGTTGGGTGAGATTCATGGCCCCCCTGCCCTGGCATGTTTGTATGTAAAACAAAGAATGCAATAAGCTAGCTACTCGATTAGACTTGTATATGACTATACATGATATTTATTTATTTATAAATACAAAATAAAGATGCCCTGAAAGTAATAATCGAGTGAGTGAAAAATGATTTTCATATTTTAAGATATTTTGTAATAAGTAGTTCAATTTTTAGTAATATTCTCTCATATCCTCAAACACTTAACAAAAAATTCATTATTATATTGTAAAAATGGTGAGGTGCGGCGTGGTGGACAAGTCGTAGCTGGATCTTTCAAGGTTTTGTACGTCTTTCGTTTGTTATACGCTAATTAGACAAATTAAGGTAGGAGATTAGAGGTTTTAATGAGCAGGCAATACACTTGGGAAGTTGTTGTCGCTATGCTATTATCCCCTTTCATATTTGGCTTAGGATCCTAGCTAATCCCACTTTAATTTCAATTCTTCTATTATTTTACATTATCTTCCTCGAAAGCCCAGTTTTGGCGCCACGTTTCGTAAATATACCCTCCTAAGTTTTATTAAGAAGCATCCTTTGTGCTTCTAGCAGACCAACTTTAATTTATCTTTGTTTTATGTTCATGACTTTTAGTGGAAGGGTATTAAGTCGCTTATAACATGATTCTAACATCACTTGTTAGGAATTGAATTTTGGTATCCGTATGGACAACTCAACTAATTATATAAGTGAAAAATTAGAAGAATGACTAGGGATTGAGTCTTACCAGCGGCAGTATACGAACAACCTTTCAAAGTGAGAGGACTCTTTATGCGCAGTAAGCAAATGTCTAGCCTCTGTGGGACCTGATCTTCTGCCCAACATATTTGTGGATGCTGAATTTAACCTTTTAAATTTGCGTAACAATCACTTGTAGTGCTTAATTTGGTCTTTTACCGAAATCCGCTTAACAATAACATTTGAAGGAAGATGGAGGAAAAGAAAATCCTATGATGGAATTGAAGTGGTGTTCCTTAATTTTGTAGAGTGTCGGGGCGGATATGTGTGTAGAACTGTAGAAGGTTGGCAAATGTGTTCACCTAATTAATAGTCGAAAACATTGACTACTTTATAGAGTTGGGGTATGGTAGGTCGTCCCAATGATTCTCCACACATTCTATTCTATTATTATCCTCCGACCATATACTAAGCTATAATTTTCTTTATTTTTCTGCATGTCCCCAGTTCTGCCATGAAGCTAGGGTCAGTAAAATTTCTTCTCCTCTGTCGGCAACCAAATTACTGAGTCTTTTAAGGTAGATTGTGTTCATGATTAGGGGATGGGTTTGTCGTGGCTGAGCTATCCCTAGCTAATTAAGGATATGATGTTGGCAGGGACACAATATCTGGTTCTAACCACAAAGCAGGTGAATGTCTTTGGGGCATCTAAACAAAACATATGAATTATTGAAAAAAATCACATTTTCATATCACTTGGTCAGAATCTTAGGGTTTGTAGTGAAAAATGATTATTTTTTTTTAAAAAAATTCTGTAGTATTTATTGTGTTAAAAAAGTTACGTTTTTTAGTCACTAGGTCAGATTCTTGAAGTATATTTTAAATCAAAAATGATTTTTCTAACTATTTTGAAAATACAGAAGTTTCGTCATATTATTACCTTGCTAAAAAAATTACATTTTTCAATTACTACGGTCAAAATTTTAGGATTTTCAGTCAGAAAAGATTTTTTTTTAATCATTTCAAGAATGCAAAATGTTCTTTTTATGGTTATTTGGTTGTTGAAAGTGATTAGAAATCACGAACGTGAAGGTTTGACATGGAGGGGTAGAATGAATCAAATGATTCACTTTGGTTTTGTCGCTATTATGATTGATCTTTGAATTGAGATTACAAAAAGAAGCCAGCCGGCACTACCAACGACTATGTTATTTATAATTAATCCATGCACAAAAACATATTAATTATAGCAGGCCAAGAATATAATGCAAATGACACAAGGAAATGTTAAGTTCATAAGCCAACAAAAAACATCATCCATCATAAATGTATGCCTTTCTCGTACGTAGCGGTATTGACCATATGCCACATTTGCTCAATCATCCGACACCTTAATTGCCATCCTAATTGACTAATTGTCCTCTTTTCACTTTCAACTTCCCCCCCTTGTTAACGGTCATAATCAAACATTCTAGATCATAGTTAACGTTTTAATTTTTGGGGTAGTATCTAGAAATCTTAGAATATATAGTGGGGATAATAAAATAGTCTATATTTAGTTAATTATGTTTTAAATTTAAACCAAAATTTAACAACTCCTCACTATTTTATTGAGATTGGTGGAGGTCGACGGGTCTTAAATGCACCTTTATTTTTGTTTTTTTGGTCTTAGGTAATATTCGAACACGGCATCTTGAGACTGCTAGCAAAGCAGAGTTGATTGATCAGTTGAGCTGTGCTCTGGGAGCAATGAAGTTTTATTAAACTTAAGGTAAATGGTTTGGGTTTATACAACTAATAAGGAGTTACTTATTCTGCAGATTATAATGTGATGAGTTAAATTATATAAAGAGAAAAAAGTCTTACCACCTCAATTGTCCGTGTAAGTGAGACAATTAATGCAATTGTAACATCAAAAGATAATTTCGAAAAAGTAAAATTAAAGCAACAAATTCGATATCTTTGAATACTGCACTGGTATCTGCATCCTATGGCCTACGAAATAGAACTAATCTAGCCAAATCTAGAAAGAAATAGTGGGCATCAAATTACAACTCAATAACAATGCCTAATTTCATGCACACTTTACACTAAAGAATTCCCCTAGATTTATAAAATGGCATTAAAAAGATTGAACAGGAGATGAAAGTTTTGATCATGATGGACATTGACCCTACTTGTTTTGGCATCAGAGAAAGCTGTGAATAGTTAATGACAGTTAAATCACAAAGTAAACCGTATTACGCCAATCATATTACAGCTTTCTTGATGGGATTTTGAATTGATTATTTTAGGATAATAATGATGGTTTAATTTCTCCTATTTGTCTGCTTTTGCAATCTTTTGGCCTGCCGCTAGCGGCAAAAGAGATAAAGTTGGTTTCTTGGAAGCCACTCTAGGGGTTCCAATGGAGTATAAATAATACAATCCACATTACATTGCTTATTAGAACCATCGCATTCAAGAAATTAAAATTCTTGAAATCCTTAATTTTTTGGTATTTTGTGTTTGTGGGTACTAGAAAAAAAAAAAAAAAAAAAAGATTGGATCTTGTTGGGAGAAGTTTTCTTGAAATTCCGGCGATATTTCAGGCGAGAAATGGCGCCGGCGGCGACGGAAGAGTGGTCGGTGCAGAATGACATGGGTTGTGGTCTAGTCGGAGCGTTGTTCCAACGCGGCGGATCAAAGCCGAGCAAGTCTCCGCCGTCGCCACGGACTCCCGCCGCCAAGAACCAAATCACGGTGGACGCCAGGAGGCGGCGGCGGAGCAGTTCCGAGACGAATTCAAACGGCGGCGGCGATCACCGGCAAAGAACTCCGAGGTCAACAACCACAATGCCGCCGCCGCCGACGCAAGTGGCGAACTTAGCCTACACGCAGAGGCTTAGAAGGGAGCCGACGTTCACCTCAAGTGAACTGAGCGTCACCATTGTAGGCCACAGAAAATCCAGCGCCGCCGCCACCGCCGCCGCCGGCAGCGGCGAAAGTTTATACCGCGCTTCCTCCGGAAACGTGATGCTCCCTGGCCACCTGGGAAATCTGAACCAAAAACCATCAAAACAGAAAGAGAGACCAAACGGGAAAGTGTTAGGCAGCCATCTCGGCGCCACCGCCATGATGGGCAACATTTTCCGGCACTCAAGTTTAAAAACCATGCTTACTGGTCTCGACAAAAGCATGAACCCTGACGCTCTGAAATCCATGGGAAACCAACACTACAAGCAAGGAAGATACGAGGAAGCATTGAATCTATACAATGAAGCCATCGCCATAAATCCCAGAAATCCATGTTTCCACAGCAACAAAAGTGCAGCTTTAATGGCGCTTTCCCGCCCCATTGAAGCTGTTTTTGAATGCAGAGAAGCCATCCGCTTAGACCCTTTCTACCATAACGCCCAATACCGCCTAGCAAATCTATATTTCAGGTACCAAAAACCTTTTTTTTTTTCTTTTAGAAACCCGCAACCACTACCGAGAAAGGCCAGAACGCCCAGAAGTTTGAGCTTAAGATCAGATTATATTATTGTCTGCAATTTTGGCAGGTTGGGAGAAGCAGAGAAAGCTGTGTGCCATTACGAAAAATCAGGGCGAAAAGCCGACGGGAAGGACATTGATCAAGCTAAAGCTCTAAGCATAATTCTTGGCAGTTGCAGTGAAGCTCAAAGAGTTAAAGACTGGGCATCATTGCTTAAGCAGAGCCAAAGTGCATTGTCTTTGGGTTCAGATTCATCTCCGCAGGTTAAACCAAGAATGCTGATATGATTTGTTTACTTTTTACTACAAATTACATTGTTGAATCTGTGGATTAATCAGTCTTTATCCATTTAAAGATCTTAGCAATGAAAGCTGAAGCCTTGATGAAACTCCAGAGACATGAAGAAGCATACACTGCACTTGTGAAATGGCCTGCTTTTAATACAGAGCAATGTACCTCCCTTTTTGGCTCAGCCAAAACTGCATATTTCTTAGGAGTTAAAGCTCAAGTCCTCATGGCTATTGGAAGGTAAAAAATTCAACAAAATTTCATCCAAAATTCTACCCAAAATCCTGTGTTTTTTTTGGTCACAAGAACCGCAACCATTATTTGAGGATGTATATCACATAATTACGTCTTGTTACCCTAGTGAGTAAACAACTTAGAAGGCTGTCTATAATTGATTGACTCGTAAATCCAGTCGTGTCACCTTAGTCGCTGGCTTAGATTATCCATAGCTGACTAGGTTAAACAACCTAGTAGGCTGTCTATAGCTGACTGACTCATAAATCCAGTTGTGTTACCTTAGTTGCTAGCCTAGATTATCCATAACTGACTAGGTTAAAACAAGAAGACCAATAGACCACTTTTATTAAAAATTAAACTTAAAATTTTGTAATTATTAACCCTCAGTTGGACAGACTTGACTAATGTTATACCTAGAAATCTAGAATCCTGTTTTTGACACCCATGTGAACCAGCTGACAACAATTGTTGTTGGGTTGAAGGTTTGAGGATGCTGTGAGTGGTGCTAAGCAAGCGGCCCTGTTGGATCGAAGCAGCGAACAAAACGCATTGCTGGTGAAGAAAATGGCGGCGGTGGCGGCGGCGAGATCGAGCGCGAATGATCTTTTCAAGGCTTCAAAGTTTGCAGAAGCGGCGGCGATGAACACTCAGGGATTGGGATATGATCCATGCAATGCAGTTCTGCTGTATAACAGAGCGGCTTGCCGGTTCAAGCTGGGGTTGTTCGAGAAGGCGCTTGAGGATTGCACCGCCGCGCTTAATCTCCGGCCGTCGTACAGAAAGGCAAGAACACGGCGAGCTGACTGTAATATTAAGGTGAGAATTGAAAACTTTGCTGATAAAATTTTCGTCATTATATTGTTGATCGAGCGTTCTTGAATGGTTTTTGTTTATGGGTTGAGTTTAGCTGGAGAGATGGGTGGCTGCGATTCAAGATTGCGAGGTGTTGATCCAAGAAACGCCGGGAGATGAGGCGGTGAGGCGGCTGTTCTCGGCGGCGAAACAGCGGCTGGACCGGCAGCGACAGGTGGATTACGGCCATAGGTTGCAACTACGGCCCCGCTCCGATCTGGTTTTGGTCTCTTAGCACATAACAATATATATATATATATATATATATATATATATATATATATATATATATATATATATATATATATATATATATATATATATATTGTCAAAAGTTTTGTGTTCAATTCTCATTTATTTAATTAATTTAGATGGATTGATTTTTTAACATGCAAAAATTTGTTAATTGTAACGTGCACAACGATTGGTATGCACGTAACTGCTTAATTTGTTATGTCTTGTGCAAAATGAGCTAATAGTAATATGCATTTAAGCTTGTATATAATACCTTAATTTCCAAAGTACCTTATGATAGGATTTTTACAATAGGTACATACTCATGAGGCCAAGCTGTATAACACGGATATCCTTTAGGTGCTAAACGGGACGGTTCGTTCAGATCGGATCAGAGAAATATATAATCCAATTTGCCTAAACAAGGGTTAAACAAACTCAATTCGGCAAATCAGACCCATTATAGCTGTAAATGTGGGTATTCACTCTCAATTTTCAATTTTAGATAGTTCAGCCCGCCCGATAAGCTCGACAATCTCAAGTTTAGGGTTAGGGCTAACCGAACCCGAAAATAAAACAATAAAACAATAAAACAATCAATTAGCCCGAACCAATAAGCCTGAAAGCTCAACAAAACTAGCCTGAAACCGAGTAGGCTGGCCCGATTGACATCCCTAGGTACATAAGTACATTAGTTGGTACATAATAACTTAATTTCTAAAGTCACTTCTGATAGGACTTATAAAATGTGCTAAATAGCATGTAATTACTTACTTTTTTGCTTTGTGTGTGATAAGATCGACTTGCTAATAGGAATGTCCATATTAGCTAGTACGTTTTGTGAGATCGGATTGGAAATTTATCATATAGAGTGAAAGAAAAGAAAATTACAGAATTATGAATTATGAATTATGAATGAATATAATATAACACAAGATAATAATACTCCATAGATAAAATTTCCAGGATTTTTTTTTTTTTGAGGAATTTTAAAAAATGCCAAAAGTCTTGTCGGCCTCCTAGCCTATGCAACATCTTTAATCTTTATGAAAGATCAGATTTTGTGGTCCACTCCACCAAACGCCTCAAGAACTGCATAACCTGCCATATAAACAATTATTATGCTAATATTATTTTATTATTATTATTATTATTTTTTTGAATGTTACTGGCCCTATTACATTGTAGTATATGTTCATATACTTTCTCAACCTATTGAAACACAAAGAACCAATAACGCTTGTCTAACCCGGGTACCATTAGACCATATAGTCTTGATAATATTATTAATTTCTCTAAAAAATCAATAAAAATAGATGTAATATTCGTACAACACATGTTTAATTTACATATACTCTATTCACAATGTATGTATTGCTTTGCTAATAGTCACATAGTCGACAAATTATTTAGTAGACCCTGGTCCACCTTGCAAGGTGGACTCGAGTCCACGGTATAACTGTTGCACATAGTCTATCAAAGACTAAAAAAGTAAGATACATATGAATCTGATGATCTTAATATCTGATATTAGTATATAAGTATTTGGGGTACGGTCTATCTCCAATCCTTTGCCAATCTCTAAGGCATGAGAAGTAGTGATTGACACGCAAATTTAGGGTTCAAACTCTTTTTATAAAAATTGCGGTTATAAATCTAACTGTTTGACTAATTTGACTAAGCTGTACTTAGTAGTGTAATACATAGATACTATGTGAAATTTTTGTTAAAATTTATATATACTTACCTCTGATGGTTCTTGTAAAGAATATGAAGCGCTGGTTTCTTTAGGAATTGTGGATACTATGATTCCAAAACCTTGCCTTCTTTGCCGGAGGACCTTAAATGCATCCTCGTCCGTCCGATCGTCGCCGATGTAGACCGGCAAAACATCATCGGAGTTTGCGTAACCCAAGGATTCCAACAAGAATTCCAGTGCCTTGCCTTTGTCCCACTTTATGATAGGACGAACTTCCAAAACCTTAGTTTTAAAAAATAATAATAATAATAAATTAGTGAATTTATACTAATTATTTATCTTAATTATTGTCGAAAAGTTCTATAACGTTATACATACATAAAAGCATATGTACCTTTCTTCCCTGACATAATCGAAGCTTTGGGTATCCCTTGAGCACGGATTTTACTTGTTCACCAAGCTCATTCCAGTTCTGAATCAGTAAAAAAAAAAAAAATTAAAATATTATTTTGTTCTAATAAATAGATAAATACTATACAAAAAATAACGAGTGTTGAAAAGAATCATGAGTGTTGAAAAGAATCATGAGTGTTAAAAAAAATAGTAATGGATATATTGGAAATGGATCCAGAGCAAACCCACCCGGTGGAACATAACAAGATGTGTTTGTTTGGACCCGGCACGAAACCCCGCGTTGGACCCCTGGCCGCCTATGTCGAGCCCCGGGCCTGACCTAGTCCTTGGTGGGGCCCTGGCCCAAGGCCCCGGCCTAGGGCTCAGTTTGGGCCCGGCCTCGGTCGATGGCACCAAGCAGGGGCCTGGCCACGAGACCGAGCGCAATCCAAGTAGTTGCAACTAACTCCTCCTTTTTAAGGAGACAATTAGGGGGTTTTTGAGTAAATTTCCAATATATTGTAATAGCATTACACAAACAACAATACAATATTGGTTTCTGTGACATACATTTTTTGTCTTTGTCACCTGTTATTTACTGTATTCATTTACTGTATTATCCTTGTTCTTTAATTATCGAGTTATTTGATTCGGCCTACCCAGGTTAATTTAATGCATCAAATATTATACAAAAATAGAATTTCTATTAAAGTAAAAAAAAAAAAAAAAAAAAAAAAAAAAAAAAAAAAAAAAAAAAAAAACCTTTTCTTCAACGCAACGATAATGCACTGATAAGCAAAACTTATTGTTCTCTACATTAGCTCCTGGGATTGATTTAGTCTTCCCCAATAAAGCATTATACACCTGAAAATGATAAAATGATTTTAATACACGTACACGTACTGCACATATATGCATCAACTTTATATTTTTCTATGGTACCAATTATACTAATCGTACCAAGTATCATAATGTATACTATATTCAATTGTACCGTACCACATATTATTAGTTCAAGTACAAATAATAATCAGTACAACAACAAATAACAAAATATGATTATACTTGAGACAAAATTTTTGATAAATTTTAATACAATTACCAACCTCATCAATCATTGGTAAAAATTCTGTGGCAGGTTGGCATAGAAGACACGTATTTCCCTGAAAATGTACAAATAACATTAATGAGAAATATTATATTGTTAGTATAATGTGTATAAGAATATTATTTACTAAAAATAGAAAGTGGTAATCTCTTGGCATCATTTCAATTATCCTTTTCCAATTTAAAGAATCATTGTCCCTTTCTCAATCCAAAAAATTAATGCCCCATCACCAAAGTTTGATCATATAGCTCAACATTACCTAGAAATGACAATATGACATCATTATATATTTAGTGAAATTTCTCACAAATTATTTCTACCTTTTTTTTTTCTTTTATATATATATATATATATATATATATATATATATATATATATATATATATATAGTATTCCAACAGTTTTTAGTTTGTTGAAAAACTAAGCTATTTTTTTTAGTACTAATGATTCTGTTATATTGTAGTATTTGTTCATACATATTTTATCATCTTCACCAGGACTATGTGGTCCAATGGTATCCGGGTTGGACTTTCACTTGGAAGGTTGTGAGTTTGAGCCTCAGTGGAGGTGTCATTAGCTTGCATTGTAATAGAGCTAGTAGCATTCAAAAAAAGAAAAAAAATATTTTATCATCTTCAAACATGTGACCTCTCATTTGAGAGCTAGAACCACTCAACTACAAGGTCTTTAGCTGGAAAAATTAATTGATTAGTTAGTAATGTTTACCTTTTCATAGTTGTGTCCTTTGACTGGTCCCTTGATGTCCATGCCATGGCTTCCAGCATAGTAAAGCTCTGATAGTTTTACGAATTTGTAAACCTAAAAATACATACACACAAACATAAGTAAAACAAATACTATACCGGCCAACTATTCGAGAGTGTGTACCTTACAAAAAAAAATCGTATATATATAACAAGTTCCAGTGTTTGACCGAATTATGCATGTGTATATACCTTAGATCTGCACCTCCCAGTGACTATTGCTGTGGGGAAATGCTTTGCTACATCTCTCACTGCTTCTCTCATCTAAAATACAAAATTAAAATTTAAAAACATGGAAACATAAGATCATTAAATAATTTTGGATCAATTCGAGATTAGTTTCATATGATAGAATGCTCGATTAACTCACCTCTTTAGTCATGAACGCTTTGTCAGGGTCCTCAACAATGGGAGAAAGGGTGCCATCATAGTCCAGAAACATTACTATTTGTTTTCCTTTAGAAGCTTCGGCTATGCGATCAAACATCCTCAAAGCAGACGGATAACGAAGCTGCTTCAATCCATTCCGACAACATCGTAACAAAAACAAAAACAAAATAGAAGTATATATACATATATATTCTGAACATATATAGAAACTTACAGCCCAAGAATTGTTATAATAATCCTGGGAGGATGTCTGGGTCGGCGACGAATCCCTCATGGAGTCCAGCAATGTCGGGCTAAGCATGGCGGTGGCCGGAACGGCAACCGCCAGCAGGTCGAGACGGCGGCGGCGAGGGTCTGGTTTTTTATCTGCAGACAGAACTGCCACAGTATTATTGTGGTTAGTCATATCTTCTTGAATACAATACAATCGCCCTGGTTCTTCTGTGGGTATATATATATATATATAAAGAGGCATCGATGAAATTGCATGTGAAAGTACAGGAAAGATGAATGATGTCTCCGTACAGAAAGTCAAGAAGACATTATAAGTAATTGGAAAAGGAATATGAAACGTAAGTTACCTCGAAATGTCTAGGAATTGAAACGGAGATTATATTGGTCGTCAAAGACTTTATTTGGGTTTTGAAGGAGGGAAAATCAAGAAAGTTGGTAATGGCGTATTAATATTATTATTATTATTGTACGTGCAGAATGGGAATGGAAGAAAACAGACAAATTAAAATTAAAGAAAAGCAGACTGAGTAACAAGTGGTCAGGGGGGAAGGGGTGAATGTGTTGTCAATTTATAAGTTAGTCAGCAGTCACAGATCAGAGGAAGCATCTCTCCACTCTCCTACCACTTTTCATTGCTTTCAATTTTCAAATTAACTACTTTCACTCATAATCTCACATAGACTTAACTCACTAATTCAATAGACACTATTTAGGACAAAAGACCAAGATTCAAAACTCAACAGCAGCAGTGTGACGATTATGTCCAAAACCCCTTGTGCACACGGATAATTTAGCCATGTTTGTTGAACCAACATCCTCCCAAATGCTTTATCAGACCGGTGTGTAGGAGGCATTTGGGGTTGGGAGTTCAACATCTGGGGCAAAAGATCAAGATTCAAAACTCAACAGCAGCGACAGTGTAGGGATTATGTCCAAAATCTCTTGTGCACACATACAATTTAACCATGTTTGCTGAGTCAACATCCTCCCAAATGCTCATATGTTGGAGTGTGGGAGGTTTTTAGGTTGGGATTCAACATTTGGGGTAGGAGGGCTTTTACTGTCTTTTCTTAGAGACTCAGGAAATGAAGTAAAGTACGAGATGCTTGTACATATTCACAACAAGGCTAATTTTGTACTCTACACCTAATAATCTTGAGAGCTTTCATGATCATTTGTTAAAGTTTTTATGGATGAAGTAAATTACGGGTTGTGACACTCAATCTATTAGCTAGTGTTCTCTCTTTTGCAGGCAAGCCAATAGAATTTGCATGTAACTAATATTATATTAATAGACACTCCGTGCATGTGGAGTGTAATTTATTATCATATTTACATGGATGTATTTATAAAATTAAAAAAAGCAAGTTGCATACTAGCTATAATTACACTTTATAAATAATTGAGTTTGCACGCGAGCTTTATATATATATATATATATATATATATATATATATATATATATATATATATATATATATATATATATATATATATATATATATATATATATATATATAAACTTTTCATGCAATATGGTCAAGTTGATGGTAGTGGGGTAGTACCCATTTGTTTGATGTTATGATTTTTTATTTTTTATTTTTATTTTTTAAAAAAAAAACCACCATTGTAGGTAAATGAGAGATGGAGATATTTATTTGTTTTTTTCTGGACTCTTATATATATATATATATATTAGCTTTGTTGGGATTAGGATTTGAAAGGTGGTGGTGTATGCCCATCATTATACCATTCCGTAGATCATGTCTACCGTATTATACTATCAAATAATAAACCTTCATTACTCAAATAATGTACATTCAATATATTAAAAAAAATTATTACAATGTGAATCATGGTTCATAATATAATTTGCCAGTGTATGCCCTACAGACCGATAGAGAAAGTAAAATGCAAGATGTGTCTCAATTAGCCTATCGATTTTGATAAGATTTGGACTATGCACCATTCAGATACTATAACAAAGCAAAATTTATAAACTTATTTAAAGTTAGTTCACTAGTTGAGGTACATCGTGGGACAACCCTTCATCAATTTCAGGTTGCATGCTTGCTTGATTATTGACACATAGAAAAGACAAAACCAATTAAGGTGGGCTAGGGTATTTAGTACCTCATACAATAATGTTACTAATGTTATTGGTGCTGGCATGGGAGTAGTACCACTAGCTCCAGTCTGAACTACACCCCACAACCATAGCATACATTAAGGAGGGGAAGACAGCTCTTTAGCTCCATCGCAATAATGTTGCAGGTTACTCCTCCATATCAGTAAGGTACTCGGGTCTACAATATATCAATCGAAGGGTGAGAATTTACTTTGACCCGATCCAAATCTAAAGTAGACTCACATATATTATTTATACTACAAAATAACACTTAACACAGGGCGTTTGGTTGGAGGGAGGGAATTATGTGGGAAAGGAATTGTAATTCCATGGGAGTTGAATTATTGGGAATAAAGTGGGAATTTAAATTCCAGTGTTTGGTTGACAGGAATAAAATTACTGGGAATTTCAATTCCAATGTTTGGTATACATGGGAATTGAAAGGGAATAAGTAGTACAAAGTCAAAAATGTCCATTATTGTTGTTAGACATTAATTTTATGTTAAAAAAGGAATGGGTAATTTTGACTCATCACTATCTTTTTTTCCCAGGAATTAAAATACCAGGGGGGACATGGGATTTTAATTCCATGAAAATGGGGGAATTGCAATTCCATGGAATTGCAATTCCCTCCAACCAAACTACAGAATTTAATGGTCTTTGGAATTAGGTGGGAATTAAGTGGGAAGGGAATTTAAAATCCCTCCAACCAAACGCCCTGTAAATGTCATTTTATCCAACCAACATGGTTGATGTGGTGGTTCAGTACCTTGTCCTTTAAGCATGAGGTTGGTGGTTTAATTTGAACCTTACTCATGTGAATGAACTGAACCATTTGACGAGTCCCTTACCACTTAGTGTGTTGATAGTGGAATACCTTTGGGCAATAAAAAAAATATTATTTTATGCTAAAAATTTCAACATTAGATTCTTACAATATATATATATATATATATATATATATATATATATATATATATATATATATATATTGTAATCATGATATATCTTGCAATTTACTTTGTCTGTCGATTCAAGGGTAAAAATGGTTATTAGCTACTGATATATTATTGAGAAGAAATAGTAAAGTTCCTTGAATTGGGCGGTGTACAAGTGGGTGTGTGTCATTTTCACAGTGATAATTATATAATGGGATGGTGCCAATTAACGTTGTCAATTTCCAACATTGTAAAGGACGTACGAAACGGGCATGCATCCCATTCATCTCATAATACCAACGTAACACTATTCAATTCACCCATTGCCCCTGAAAATTGCTGTTAAACCAGGGGCCCTATATACTATACGGTACGTAATGAACAGCAAATCGGCTGCATCAAAACCACCACCCATTGAAATTCAATTCCTATATGTGCATATTATATTCAATTCAATGTTGAACATGAAATGTTTGGCTTGGTTGGTAAGCTTCTAACGAAAAGTTGAATCCTCAAACTCTAGCTTGACAGAGCATTTGAGATGATGTAAATTACGGTGACTGACACAGCAGACAGGATCAAATATCGGTGCGCATAAGAGATATGTCCACTTTGAGCATAATTTCCACACTGCCGCCAGGGACGGAGCCAAAGGGGGTTGGGGGCAGCTACCCCCTCCCCCACCCCATATATAACCTTTGTATGTATATATGTATATATAGTACAAGTTTTAGTATTAGTATAAAGAAACAGATAAATGTTAATCAGAAGTGGGTTAGATTAGTTGGCAAAACACATGTTTGGTTACAATGAAGGTCCAGGTTTCTGTTGGCTCCTTTAATAGTTTTCATTCTTTTATATTAATAATGAGATGTGTAATTTATAATGTGTTCTCTATTCAAATTATTTTATCAAATTAATTATGTTTCAAATATTTTGTTAGGAATATTTTTATAAAATTTTGATGTGTTTTATTTTTCACATATATCCAACAATATTTATACCTATATTTCTTGGGTAATTTATTTTTATTTTTTCAAATTATCTCTTTTGTTTTTATGTTACACCTTCACTTGAAAAAAATTATGGACCCGTCCATGCTTTTTTGACCCCGCTCAACAGAATTCATGGTTCCGTCCCTGACTACCGTTGAGATTCTCCAATGTCTACTGTATTGAACCAGTGAACTTGATTGGTGCAAGCACTTGATTGGTAAGCTTTCCTAGCTTACTTGTGACTTTTACACGGTTAGTTTTGAGTGAATTTTCCGACATTAAATTTATGGCAGCATTTTGTCATTGAAACGTGATCAATATTTGTTTCTTCTTTGAATCTAAAAAGGAAAAGAATAAAGTGAACCCAGAAAAATGATTAATTCTGGCAAATATTTTTGGCAATACCGTATTAGAGTAGGTAAAATATAAAGAAAAAAGAATCGGAATACAGAACTTTCTAAAGTTGGTTGGCACCACAGTGCATAAATGTCCAAAGGAACCAAACGAGTTGTAGAAAGATGAAGCCATGGAATATAATCATATAACATTTGCTGAAAATTAAAAAAAAAAAAAATTTAAAAATGCAAGTATGGACCGACGGTGTATGTTTGTTTAATTTGCGTATTATTATAAGAAAAGTATATTCTAAAGATGGTGAAACGTTACCGTGTACTTTTGGCCAACATGTAACATAGACTTTGACCTTAATTACCTGAGTCATTTGTTTTATTTTCTTAGTCTTCTAAGGAATTTAGATCACAAAGATTCCTTCACACCCATCTACTTGTAAAATTCTTACCATGCATCCATGGTGATGAAGAATATTAGAGTGGGTCAAATAGATGGAGCATAATTTTCGTATGTAATTGTTACGAGTTTCACCACTGGAAATTATAGAATTTCCGACCACCTAAAAGTGATCTTAAATCAAGTTGAAAGTAAAAAGTGGTCGGAAATAACAACAAAGGTTTTTCTGAATACCAAAAGTGGTCAGAACAAGGCTTTTGATTTGATTTAAGATCAATTTCAGGTGGTCGGAAATTCCATAATTTCCAGTAGTGTTTGATTTTTGCTAACATTTTCTTAGTCAATTCCATCACATAGGATCTTTCTAGTGATCGAAATTTACCTCTCTTGGATGGTTAGCAGTATCGTCCTATCAGAATTAGAGACTAAAACTCAAATATTTAGGGATGAGAGAGCAAAGAGGGCCGAGGATGATTTCTTTTCCTACTAATAACAACCTCACAAATTATTATTCATATTTCTTAATTAGAAAAACTAAGCTCTCGCAACACATTCTTATACATTTTTTTTTTAATACGACATATGATATCTCAATCACTCTGAGATTAATTTGGACTCAATTTGAGTAGTGCACTCGCGCTAGTAGAGTTCAACTCTTACATACTCAAGTGAAAGTATGATTCAAAACTCTTTAACATGACATATCATGTACAAAAGTTAGTTTAAGATCATAGAAAAGATTAATCCCATGTGTGTTTGATGATTTCTTAAGAATCAATGCGAGAAGCATAATTAATTAATTAGCATTTTGGTTAATTAAACATGTGTTTTAGAGATGGTCAAAATCATGTGGGGGTTATGATTTATGAAGATTGGAGATGCTATGTTATTATGGTCATAAAGAGTTAGGTTTGAATCTTTGATTTTGGGGATTTTTGGAACCAAATGGGAATAACTTATAGCTAAAGAAACTCTAGCTTACTTGTGCTTCCAATCCCTTGCTAACTTGGAGCATCTCTATATTTGGTTGAAAACCTAACCTAAATTTATGTTTTTGAATCTTATACGTTTTCACATGTTTACAAACTTAGCTTATATATGAACCCTACATTTTCTTGTTGTTTTATATTCCAATGTTACATATTTTAATTTTAAGTAATAGTATACATTTATTAAATTATGTGTATAACAATGTTATAATTATAATATAATTTTAATTAGTGATCTGTTATCTAAAAGATTGCATCCTAATCTCGAGGGCTCTTATCTTCACATTTCAGATTTGGTGGAAGATGTTTATTGTGGGATGTGTCTCAATGTGACTCACAGCCCACAAGTTCTCCAAATGATGTACATTGGTATATGCAATAAGGCCAATTGCGTACCTTTTCTTGGTTGGAATCGAACACTGCATCCTATGACTCTATAGTATTTGAAGTGTGATGGACGTGTTTAAATTCAATCACAGTATTCAACACCCTTAAGTCTCAATAACACTATAATGGTCACCATGTGAATGTTTGATTCGTACTGTGCTACTGATAAAACAGTTTGGAATTGAAATATTTATAGGCACTAATATAACGAGCTCTTTGTAGTAATTGACACACTGAAGTATATCTGTGATTTATCTCTTTCACAAAAATTTAGAGTAGAGTTTGTGTATTGGGTGATTCAAGACTTTTTTTTTTTTTTTTTGAGAAACAACAAAACTAACTTTCATTATCAGAAAATAAAGAATTTACAATAAAAGGAGGAATATCAAATCAAGAAATACAACTAGACAAAAAACCGGTCTCCCTAGCAACCAGATGGGTGATTCTAGACGTTAGGGAATTAAAAACCTTTGGAATTGAGGTACAATTTCTAAGAATATTTATTTCAAATCACTTACAATATTCTATGTACATTTATACAATGAACTTTCGAAGCAATTACAATGGACATTCATAACAAGTTATGTCAAGTCAAGTCACCACCGACTTTCCACTGTCCGAATAATTTGGTCACACATTATTTAATGCAAAGATACGGCCCAATGGGACTATGACCAAACTTTGGGCTCTGCATATTTTGTGTGGCAGACCGCAGAGACTAATCATCTCGACCCAATTAGGCCCAAACACTAAGTTCTCCACAGTCCACTACGTTTTTTTTTTTTTTTTTTTTTTTTTTTAAAGTTACTCACTCTATTATATTATAATATATGCACACTAGTTAATACATCAATCGTTATACTATGGAATCGTGTCCACTTTGCAAGGTGTACACAATTCTATGTTCATAATTACTGAACTATAAGTTCATAATTATAAAGCTATACATTCATAATTTTTGAACTCTATATTCACAATTACAGAACTCTATGTTCATAATTATAAAGTTATCATAATTTTTGAATTTCATATTCACAATTATTGAATCTCTATATTCATAATTACAGAACTATATGTTCATAATTATGTTCACAATCCTATGTTCATAATCCTTGGTGTACTCTCATTTTATACTCAAAACTTTTACTCCATCTCTTCTTCTCCCAAAAGGTTGAATCTCCAACCCTAAAGGGGTGTTTGGTTGGATATAATTTAGTTGTAATTGAATTATAATTCAGTGAAGGATTTAATTACAGTGTTTGGTTGGAGGGAATTGCAATTCCATGGAATTGCAATTCAATGCTTTTGGGAAAGGAAAAAGTATAAGAAATGACAAAAATACCTTTGTTGATTGTTATTATTATTATTATTACACAAGGACATTTTAGTCTTTATACTATTTTTTCTTTCTCATCCCCAATAATTCTATTCTTCCATACCAAACAATGTAATTTGAATTCCTACCTTATTCTTTATCCACCGAATTATAATTTCTTTCCATCCTAATTTCTTCCTCCCAACCAAACACCCAGTAAGGGATCCCCACACTCCGACCCAACAGAGCATGTGAGAGGATGTAAATTACGGTGCGCACAACTTTTACTCCCTCCCACATGTTCGTGATGTAGACACTTTTCTGTGGACACATGATGAAAATAATCAATCATTGTTTGTCACCTCAGAGAATATAAGTAAGAGAGTAGAATTTGGGAGTATGCATAGTATAACTCTAATCATAATTATTAACAGTTTTGGAATTGTGTTCACCTTGTTTCACGGCATAATTTGCCTTAAAACATATAGGCTTTCCAAGTTATTCATATTTTGTGGGTCGAGGGCCTACAACATGAATTTCGTACTTAGATGATCATGAGTTTGATTTTTGATTTCTTGTTATACTTTTTCGGTTGAATTCGTCACACGGGGTCTTTCTAGTGCAGTTTTAGGCTATTTACTCCGGGACCGGGGTTTATACCTTTCATGTGTTGTTTGTAAGCTAATTATCTAAGAATGAGATTTACAAAATGCATACCTTTAAATAATGTTAATTCGTGTGCATTGTTCTCGACAAAGTCTTAACCTTCCCTTTCCCCTCTCCCACATTTTTGAAGAGAGGCAAACCCTTAAACAATGCAAGCGGTCCTTACCAATATTTAATATTTAATATTGAGGGTGTTTGGTAAATATTTAATATTGAGGGTGTTGGGTTAGTCGGCTGATAGTTAATAACATTAGCTGATTGTAGAAAAATATAAAATATACAACTAATTTACATGCAAAAAGACTTTGTTAATTTAAAAATTACTTTAAACAATTTTTTAAAATTTTAACATTTTGAAACAATGAAAACAAGTGATCGTAAGTTTGTAACTTTCAAGCCTTTCATTTTGGTCCTTAATCTTCACAAGAAAAGTCAACATGGTTAGAAAATTTGTCAATTAAATTCAAATAAAAACAATGATATTATTATTTATTATTATTTTTAAAAAATTTTAAAACTTAACCCAAATATGAAGAATCCCTACTTCAAAGTGAGGACAGACTCTCTCCTGTTGGATGTCACCCTGCATCTCATGTTTAATATTTTATTGAAATTGAACTTATTTATTTTAACTTCTTTTTTACAATATTATTGTACAATTATTTGCAATTTATTTGTTGTAATAATAGTAGGAAAAAAAACCATAGAATAGCAAACTGAACAATTATTATAACACCGAAATTCAAAATAAAATACAATATAGACACCAACATAAACACATTCTACCAAAAAAACATAAAATTCCCTGGTCTAGCCAAGACAAAAACCACTGGCTAGCCAGTTGAGGATCTTCCTAGTAATAACAATAACTACAAGGACTGACTCCATAATAATCAGCATGCTAAGGGCCTTCCCTGCAATTTTCAAAAATATCTTGCAGCCGGCCCCACCCTACACCATTCATCACGTGACCACATGTGACTTGGACCACTCCTTTTTTTTCCTTAAAAATAAAAAGAAAAACTAATTAAAATAAAAGACTAATTATAGAGATGCCCAATCAATCTCGTGAGATGGATATTTTTGAAGCTCCGAGAACATGTCCCACGTGGACTCTTCGTCCGTGAAATCCGGAAACGTTCGATCCGAAACGGGAGATGACCCGTCCGACCCGGAATCCGATCCGCAGATTTCGGGCACCGATCCGCTCGATCCAGAATCCGATCCGGAGTTTTCGGGTCCCGCTTCGGCTGGCTTGTCATCCTCCACGGCTTCTTCCTTGGGCTTTTGCGGCGGAGCCGGCTTGGACTTCTTGGAGTCGAGGCTCTTGTTCTCGGCTAAGCTCTGGCAGATGGCTTGCAGCTTGGCGTCGACGTTGGAGTGGAGCGGCTTGTACTCGCCGAAGTCGCCGCCGATGAGGGAGCCGTTGTGGCGCAGGTTAGGAAAGTTGAGCCGAGCCGAATCGCCTCGGAGCTTGTACGCCGCCTTGTCGTAGGCCAGCGCCGCCTCCTCCGCCGTGTCGAACGTCCCCAGCCAGAGGCGGGTACGGTTCTTGGGCAAACGGATCTCCGCCACCCATTTCCCCCAGTGGCGCTGCCTCACCCCTCGGTACAGCTTGGTCGGCTTTGGCGGCGCGTGAGCCACCTTCATCGGCACCGGCCTCGGCGCCAAAAAGCTCAAATTCCGGCGCTGCTGCGGCGGCCACTGGCTCTGAAACGGCGCAGAGCCCATCATTTGTTGCGCCTGCAGATCGATTTGGGTCTGAATCTGACGGACTTGTAACGGCGTCAACGGGTTAAGCCCGATAAAGCCCGACTGCCCAACCCCACAGCCCGAATAACCATTCTGAAACATGTGGGTTGTGGAGGTGGAGCAGCCATTAAAGCTCCCATAAGATCCATAAAATAAATCAGAAGAAGAAGAAGGCGACGGAGACGGTGACGGAGAAGCACTGATAAAAGGCTCAAGTGCTTCCATGAGATCCCCGCCGCCATTAAAAGGCTCTGAAGAATGAAAATCTACACCTATACTACTCCACAAATCCATGGTGGCAGCCATTAAAACAAGAAAATCAAGAGGGTCTTCAAATAACAACCCCTTTTTGTTATAAAAATCAAACCTTTGAGGGACAACTAATAAGCCCTCGTGCAGATCAGATCAGATGAAGAAAAAACACAGAAAATAATTAAAAAAGAAAACAGATCTCGATTCTGAAAACACCTGACTATTTTTCCAAAAACAGATTCTTGAAAAGCAGATGATTTGCAGAAAGGGATCAAAGAAGCGGGGGATTCAGAGAGGGGGGGAAGAAATTTTTACAGAAAAATCAGTGAAAATTTTCAAGAAAATCTTTTTGTTGTGTTAGTGAAGTGTGTGCGAGTGTGAGGAAAAACCAACACACTGTATCTATATATCTCAGCCTCACCTTTTTTGTGGGTTTTATCTCTTCATTTGCTATGGTTTATATAGATCCTAGGAAGTCATGTTTTTCGATTTTCTAAATCTACTGGTTAATCGCCATTTTGTTATCCTAATTTCACCTAATCTTGTGATGTCCGTCTAACCGGTTGACGCTAACGTCAACTTTCGTCACTCGGGGCGTGTAGCCGTATTGTATAGCGACGCCTGTAGGGTGTCTGGACACGTGTCCATCTGGTTCCACCCACCTGTCAGTTACCTTGGCTCCTCGCGTCTTGGATTCTGTTGCGTTTTCGGACTAAACGCGTTCGCACTACCTCCTCTTTTAGCCGTTACTTATTTTGTCATTTTCTCCCCCCACCCTCTTCTTTTTCTTTTTAATATATGACCCCCAACAATTATATTAGGTTTTTTTAAAAAATATTATATTAGGTTTTGATTAATAAAAATTAAATTAGTACAAAAATAATTTATTAAAATATTAATACCACTTCTTGTCTTCTAACTTTTTTTTTTTTTATATATTTTACAAGATTAATCTTATTTGAGGTAAGACCACGAAAAATAATAAAGCATTTCTTATAGAGCTAACTGAGACTTTAGAGAGTTGCAAAATACTTACTCACGAGATCCACTCTTGCCTTATAACATCAAAGAATGACAAAATAATTTCTCAAATGATGACAAAATACTTCCTCATTAGACTAAATAGATCCCAAATGATGTCAAAGTACTCTCTCATGGGCAAGATATGACCTCAAATGGAGGCAAAGTGATCGCTAATGAAGCTTGAGTAAGACCTCAAAAGGGGTGGTAAATTTTAAGGTAATTGTATTCTCATATCTTAAACACAACAATTTTGATTAAATTGAAAAAGACTAGTGATGGGCCGCGTCTTCTAACTATAGTGAAAAAAAAAAAAAAAAAAAAAAAAAAAAAAACTCAATAATTTGTATTGGTAATATTACTATAATGTCGGTGGTGTAATTATTCGTGTCGATACGATTTATGCGGACGAATTAGACTCCAAAAATTAATATAAAAACAAATATATTTAATTGATTGATAAGATTCAAACTCTTTTGTAAGAAAAAACAAATTAAATTAAATTAAATGAGGTCGATTGAATGAGACACAAAGCGAAAGGAGTTGACAATAGGAGTGCATTAAAAAAATATGCGATAAGAAAGAATAATTAGATTGTGGGGAGGCGTTGCGGCCTTAGCGAAAGAATACCCACAAGATTTCGAATATTTTTATTTGACTGGCTTAGATTATAATATCTTCAACAGTGTCACCGCTAATCAAATTTACTTTTTTTCAGTTGAGGCTTTAAATGACTATTTTTAGAGAATTTTTTGGATATATTATTTGGCACTGATCATGAGTTCATGACATTAAGCGAAGGAAGCCTCTAGATAACAGTGACTTTTATGCTACCCTTACATTAATTACTTAAAGATTTCTTCTTCTTGTTGTTTTTTTATGTAAATCACTATTCATAATGGATGCATTTTTTACCAAAAAAGAAGATAGAAACCCTTCAAACAAAAGCCAAGAATCAAATTGGTGGGGTTCGAAATGGACCCTCTGTGAAAAAATATAAGATCATCAATAAAGTTGGTTAGACTATTAGTTTGATAACCACAACATTTAAAGTTAGACTCTTAGTAGAAGCAACTTCAAAGTTAAACTCTTAATAGAAGCGACTTATTGGTCTTTTATTGGCCAACTATGGACAATCTAGAATGGTTTATTTATTTGTGGTCCTTTGCCAAATGCCTGAATTACAAGGCAAGATATTCTCGATGTACACGGTTGGGTAGTGAAGCTAGTAACTACGAGTTTCTCTCGTCACCCCAAAAAAAAAAAAGCTCCATTATTCCAATCTAACATATCTGTATATGCTTAGCAACATAATATGACAACATCATTGATTCAGATGTGACTCAAACCTGTGATATTCTATTTGGATGGACCACAGCGATATCATCAAATCACAAAGTCCTTGGCAGGGTTTGTAAACAAAGAATGAAATTATTTATAAGGAATGTGCATATTGGATAAGTTCTAGTGCTAGTGCTTTCTCAATTTAGTTTGCATGTCTTTGATGAATTCCCGAGAGAGCCCGACAGATGTTGTGAGAGTTCTTGAAGCTAAATTGGTTTATTGTTATTGGGGTTAACGGCCACCCACACACGGATGTATTGATTGGTGGGAGCAAAGTAACGTTCTCGACACGTCCTTAATTAATATGGTGGTTGGGATGGAGATATGAAGAGGCATGTGGTGATCGCTGAAGTGGTCAAACCCCATAGTGTACGTGACCCATACAGAAATAGATTTAAAGTAGGCAACTTTTGGAGTGTGCGTAAAGTATGTGTCCAGATATGGTTGGTGGCCTTTCAATAACAGTTGGAGCCACTTGCAAGTGATGTGCTCCCTTGCCCCACAAAGGGCCACATCCTTTTCAATTTTCTTGCCTCTAATTAAGATTGGGCAAGTTTTTCTTTGGTTTTGTGGCGTACACTGATGAGAGATTGGTTGCGTGAAAGACTAGGGGATTTGAAAAAAATGGCAACGTTGATAACATGTTGAAAGGACCACGGCATTAGAGGAAGTCTAGATAGGTATTATTATAGTTTCTGCGTTTGAACTCTATTAAGCTCCCGTATGTTCTGTCTGAAATTCCGATGAACAGAGCTTCAGTGTCGGGGCTGAAGGAGATCCCGGCGATTTCACCGAATAAGTCGATCTCCTGGCAGGTGACATAGTCGGACTGGGTGTCGAATATGTGCACGAAATCGGCTGGTTCAGCCATGCCCAAGAACCGGCCGTCTGGACTGAATTGGATTGCACGTATTGCGCCCATTCTTCCATTGAGAATGGCCAAAGATCGTGACAGGTTCCTGACGTCCCATAATCTGCAAGTGGTGTCTTGGTTCCCGGTGGCAAAAATTTGACCATTTGGGTGCCAGGCCGAAGCAAATGAATAGTCTAGGTGACCTTTAAGGTTGGCAATTACCTGTAAAGGGGAAGTCTTAGCAAATGCTCAACGGCATGTCACTTTAATTTGAAATGAAAGCAACGTATACTAACCTTTCCTGATTCAGCATCAGCAAGTAGACAATCGGGATCGTCTCCAACTACAGTAAGCATTTTACCGTCTGGGCTGGCAGAGATATTCTGTGACAGAATATGAACCCGTAGAAGTAATTATTAGGATTCAAAATATGTATTATAGATAAAAAGAAACAAATATAATATACTCACATTCACAGACCAAGGGAATGTGAAACAATTAAGACGGGCGAAGTTGTTGGCATCAAATACTCTAACTTGAGCATCATTATTCGCAGCCATAACCTTCACCGAGCCACTGAAAAAAATTGAGCCATGTCTCTTCGTTAGTCATTGTCCTTTTGGGTGATAAAATCCGAGGAATATAAACAAGTAACTTTACTTTGGTGCATGGCAAATGTCCACCGTGTTAGTTATAGCGTTCTCCCCCGTTGTAAGTTTAGTGCAAAAGGAAACGCCAGGTTTGTTTAGGTGCTACAAATTGCAAGAAACCACAAGATTAACACAAGAATAGCTGCTATGTCCCATTTGTGTATTTCTCCTAAATCTTCATACCTTGCAGATGAGCTCTCCTTGAAAACCACCTGCCACCATTAGATTGTCTTTAATGGTCATGGAGCACAGCTGCACTCTTGAGGGTGTCTGGCCCACAGATCCAGGGTATTTCTGAGTATAGCATTCAAATTTTTAGTGCCAGAAAGGGTGAGAACACTGTGAGTTTATATTGAGGAAAAAACAAATGATCTTCTACTTACCATTGTTGGCTCAAGTGATCCAGCCATATTAACCACTTCCTTTCCTCTTCTGAGAAGAGAAGACCAGTGCATGAAAGAGTAGTCTTGCACCAAATAAACATCATGTTTTGATGTTGACAACAAGAGGTTCCTTAGCTGTAACCAAAGAAACCCACTTGTCAGGAACAGCAGATAAATCATGTAAAAAACAAAAGACTACAGCAATAGCCCTTAACAAGCCATACTGTCTTGGAAGCAGTGGGTACAAAAATCTAAATAGAAGCTTATATGATTATGCAAAATGTTTGTGAAAATCCCTGGTATTAGAGTCAGAACTTAAAATATGAGATTGATCCTGACAGAAATGAACCCAAAATTCTTGATGGCCACAAAATAGGGGTTAGTTACTTCTATGTCATGTCCACTTGGATTTAAAAAAAAAAATGTCCCATCCTAACAAAGAATTGTCAAAAAGAATTTCAAACTTAGAGAACAGAAATTGTTGACTGGGTCAAGTAATTAAAGTCAGCATGGAAATCAGAAACTCAAATCCTAATCCTATACAACATAAAAAATCACAAGCTCTACAAATGTCAGAAGCCCACAGCTCATACTTAAAATAGAGTATACATAGAGGAACATCTCAAGTTATAGGGTGGGAACAACACTTCTAATCAAGATATAGAGTAATAGAAAAATGATATGGCAACCCAAAAGTTAAAGATAAGGAAACAAAACAGAATGCAAATGGATGGCACAATGTCAATTCAAACTAAAGAGAAATGAAACAAGAGAATAGATTGTATGTAGGACACAATATTTAAACAGATCACTTGATATCTTCCAGAAAAATGAAAACAACAATTTTGAGCTAGGCTGGCAATGAGATTGCAAAAAATGCCTTTGAAAATCTTATACGTTTCCCCATCATACCATATGGAAAATGTTCCTTAATGCGCCAGCCATGCCGCTCAGATCTAAACTGCCATCATGCTTCTAAAGCTGAAATGTGTGTATATATATATATATATACGTATATGAAATAGCAATTCCTCGAGATACAGGTTAATAACAACAATAACAAAAGGAATGAAACCTAGCTCATCCCAGACTACATTATAACTTAGACTTTCCCTCAGAATGAGAACTAAGAGATAAAGAATCACTAAACGCAGTACTGCTAATGCAAGATAATGCATTAAGATTCAGTCAGCCAAGATAACTATAGAAATAGCATCATTGAAACTATACATCCAATAAATGATAAATGCAGTGTTGACTGACTGAGAAAGTGAGAAGTAAAACTAAAACAATTAAAGGCTCCAACTATTGATATAGGACAGTACTTTTTCCCTCCATCTTACCAACTACATAGTAAACAATTCTTAGATTCCTCGTGGCAAAGACAATATTTAAAACTGATGGCAGTAGATACCAATTTAATTTTGAGACTGAGTTTAAGTTGTAAAACTGGTGGGGATTTGAAAGTCAAGATGAAATATAGTAATCTCATCTATGTTCTACACTAGTATCTAAATAGGTCCATAGAAAGCCAAGTTACGTACTTCACCTAAGCTTCTAATTCCAATAACTTGGCTTATAAAGACACCAACTTGTGATGCAACTTACTTGCTAGTATTTGGGACTGTACCTTCCTGAGCAAAGTGCTTGTAATAAAATAAATAATCATACTAAACACAGTGTAAAGTGTTTATGATCTGCAGAAAAAGTATTGAGTTAATACAAGTCCCAGTTCATAGTTACTTGAACCGGGCACAGAAAAGTACTTAGATTAAAAAAAAAAATTAAATATAAATGAATTAGTTTCAGGTAAGGAGTAGATTGGTACCCTTGCAAATTTGTAGCTTCAAAAAAATAATGTAAACATCATTTAATGGTCGGTGCTATTGGAAGCAACAAAATAGCAGAAAGCTCACTCAACAGATGGATCAATTATTAAGACACATTTAGTCAAATTGAGTCCAGAAATAGTATAATGATGAAAGCTTTTGGGATGGAGTAACCAACGAAAATATCAAAATTAGACGCAAGTAAATTCACCATCTTTGAGGCCACAAGAATCATCATCTGAAAATACTGGCCTCTGACAAAATTATTTCTGGAACTCCAAGGGTCAAGTTAGCAGTAAATAAAGCTAAAACTTTGAATTCAAAAGTATCATAGCACACAAAACTTCATACCTCCAAGAATGATAACTGCACAAAGTTAGTAGTATAAATAAAAAAAATATCCGTAAGGCTTAATTAGAGAAACAGCACCTGCAAAACTATTATTATTGGCATTTTAAAAGGAGGAAAAGAGGGAAGGGGTTAACAACATGCTAACAATGATAAGTCAAAGAAACCAATAATGTGTAAGAAGCTAATACTAAATGATACTATTGGAGGCAGGGACCATGTTTAACTGGTTGAAATGTAAAAGGCTACATGAATTAGCCCCACAGACAACATAGTATTCTGGGATCAACATATTTTCACATAATAAATTTTGTTGATTAATGATATCAATTTTCCAATCCATTCCTTACCACAGTTCATTCCATTTAACATTTTGTGATTGCAAAATTCTAAATATAGCATTATGGTTTATCACACAATACTTGGAAGACAAAGGAACTCATCGAGTACAAGCTGAGTATTTATTTCACCTGAAAGTGCACAATTGTTGGTTTGACAAGCCTTGTGTTGAACTGGAAGTCAAAGAAGCTGTGCCCTTTCACCACTTCCTTGTAGTCCTGGAATCACATAGGCATGTTTAGTCTCATGAAAGAAAATTCCAATCCAAACTCCAAACAGAAGACAGAATGGAAGTCAATCACTATTGCCTAAAAATGAAGGTTTGATTTAGAACAAGGCAAGCATGATGCAACCAGAGGAACTCTTGGAGAAAGGGGTACAAAAAGATGAATCACTGCCCCCTATACCTCAACTAGACTAAGTAACAAAATATTATTATTTTTTAATTAAAAATCTTTAGAATTAAAAAGCATTCTTTGTACTTCTAAGAAAAGCTTTACAAGGACAACACCAAGACTTCCACAGTAGAATCAAACCTTTTTAAGCTCCTCTCGAGAGCGCGAGAGGCTTTCATAGTTTTTGTATTGTTTCAACCTCGTTTCACGGTAATTCTCTCTGGTAAAATTGAAACGTTCCCACGGAATACCTTGGATATCCTTGCCATGTCTGGCTTCAAGAGCTGATGTATCGGTCACCGGATTACTCTGTGAATACAACATCGCTGAAATCATCATAGTCTAAACACTAAACAAATGTAAAGGACCAAAACAACATCCTAATATCAACTTCCATACTTTTCGTTGTCATTACCGTTTCAAAATCATCCTCAAAGTCAGAATCTCCAGAGTCCTCAACAACAGGCCACCGAGATTCGACCGTGCTGCCTTGAAATGGACTGTCATCAAAACCAGACACGTTATGGTAGTGATCAACCATGGACTCGTGCTCGCGGCTCCTATGAGTTTGCGCCATTGTCCAGAAATAACACTAAAAATATGTAATAAAGCTTTATTCATATTCATATTCATATTTATATTTAAAAAAAAAAAAACGGACTAGCATACAAACAGAAAAATCTAATCTGATTTAGCAAATATTCATAGCAGAAACAATTAGCCAGATAGAAAACGCTCAAAATTCCAGCAAAACAAAAATAAAAAACTAAATCGACGAATACGAATTTCAACTAACCTTGAAAAAACCGAAGCGAGCTAACGAAAGCTTTGAAGTTACGGAGAATTGAGGCTTTGAAACTAAGTAACTAACGCCGACGAAAGAGAGACAGAGTATGTTCGCAGGGACGGTTCAAAGAATTCCCGATCGGAAAACAACGCCGACTCCTTGGGAAATCGATCGCCGGAATCGAAGATTTGTACTACGAAGACGGATGCCAGTAGCAAACGGAGAGCTCCAGTGCTTGCCGCCGGTGAAGTACAGAACGTAATTATAGCGGTAAATCCTTGCAAGGAAGTTGGAGTGCGCGGTACACCCATATGGAAACCGAGACTATAATTAATCCGCGGGACCCACTCAAAGTGTAACGCTCAACTGATAAAAGGCGAACGTAAATGTTATATCAATGATATGGGATATAATATGAGTCGTGGACCCCGTGGTTATTTATGTTGATTATTATTGGTAAAAAAAAACTTTGTTGCAAATACAATTTGTTTTTTTTTTTTAAATAATGAAATGACAAATCATCGTTGGTCCACAATATGTAGGTCCCGCTGCTAGCTCAATGATGTGATGTGGACTTCTACTCACCACGTGGCTATGAATAAATGGTAGGTCTGCCACATCATTTTCTTTAGAGCTTTTAATCGATAACATTTTTTTTATTAAATTTTCAAGGTAAGAAGGATGATGTTTTTTTTCACTAAATTTGTAAGGCGGTGATGATTTTTTATATTAAAATACAAGTCATTTTTTTTCATAGACATCTCATGTTTTATGCGTGTTTACCATCATACTAGTGCGTGCCTCACATGGCATGCACACACAAACTCAACATAGTACCTAGATGCAAACAAAAACAAACATATGATACTCGTCATCATGCTTACATGTGTTTTTGCATGACAGGCACGCACATACACAAGTCATGCACGCACAAACACACGCAATGCAAATACATGGTTGCAACATACATCATCGCACTTTCATGCTTGCTTGCCACCATGTTCACGTCTACTTTGCATCGCTTAGACGTGCTCGTTACCATGCTCACATGTGCCTTACATGTCATGCATGCACAAACACACTATACTATCCAAAGCACACAAACACATGATGTTTGTCAGTGCTTACATGACATGCTCGCCACCATGCTCACATGTGCCTTACATGCCACACTACACATACACAAGTCATGTAGGCACAAACACACGCAATGCAAATACATGGTTGCAACATACACGATCGCACATTCATGCTTGCTTGCCACCATGTTCACGTCTACTTCGCATTGCTCAGACATGCTTGTCACCATGCACACATGTGCCTTACATGCCATGCATGCACAAACACGTCATACTATCCAAAGGCACACAAACACATGATGTTCGATAATTCGAGCATGCACAAAGACAACACTTCCAAAAGCACACAAACACACAATACTTGTCATCATGCTCACATGTGCTTTGCATGCCATACACGCATACAAACACTATGCACACATGTATGTATACATACTCTTTCATAAAATTAGTTTAAAATTGAATAAAATACCCCAATAAAAGTGATCAAGTAAGTTCATACTCATCACACAAGGTCTTTTTTGTGCGATTTACCACTCATGTGGTTGACACATTGCACACCCACGGATCTCACACGACTTAGATATGTAGATATATAGATATGTATGAATGTATTACATATACATATATATAATCAACTCTTGAGAGCATGTTTATCATTTTCCCTGCTAATATCTGCCATCAGCCTCTTATTGTAATGAACACATTATCTCTCACAGAAACCATTAAGAACAAATCAGAACTCAATTAAATGAATGTATGAAACAAAATTGCAGAAAATTTATTGTTTACTTAACAACACATATAGGCAATACTATAAAGCAGTTCACTAGGTGTCTTATTCAGGGCTGTATAGCACATTACAATCTATTTTCTTGCCAGATTAACAGATACAAAAAACACTGAAAACACTAGCTGACTCCTCTCTGTTGCTCCCATATTACACTAGTTTAAAAATGCAGTTCTATATCCAACGAGAATCGGCCCTGCATAAAGACGGATAAGAAAAGCATTAAGGATACATAATTTATTTGAAAGCAAAAACGATAAAGCAGTAGTTGACTAGTCATACCTCGCACCAGATCACTGTACGAACATGTCATCCAACTTTTGCCTGTATTGAGCTAAAGTCTGCAAAGACGGGGGGAAGGGATTGTCAACGGTGTCAAAGCATTGCACATAAGAATGTGGTTAAGAATGATGTTTCCCTCGTCAGACTTTGTTAACAAAGAGGAAATTAATGTTAAGAGTCCCACATTGATAAAATAAGAGAGAACATGAGTTCTAGTTAGTATGTATATTCTTGTATAAATAGGTGTATTCTTTTGGCTGAAATAAGAGAGAACATATGAGTTCATAAGGCCATGGGTTAGACTAGCTAATTGGTTGAATTCAATCTTTTAGTGTGGTTTGGCCCAGGTGTGATATAGCCCAGTTGAGTAACCATAGCCCAATCTTTGTTCATAAGAGTAAGGTGGCACAAATCTTGATTTTATTTTTGGGGACTACTTATAAACATCTCAATTAGAAAACTACAGCAAGGTGTACAAATGATGATTCAAGCTCGTTCAAATACATGGTAAAGTACTGTACCTTGGTGTAAGCATAAACCCCCGCCTCTGTTGGCCCTGCGGGGCTTCCCCTGCGAATAAACCTTCCCTCTTTGAAAATGTAAAGCATGGGAATTCCAGTCGAGAGTTCCAAGCTTATGACCTAACAACGAAAAAACACAAGGACTACTTATTGATCGGAAATGAAAAAGAAAAAAAGGGCACAAAATTTTTCAGAAAGCCGGAGATTCCACCTCTTCAGAAGTTAGCTTATCCAGGTACATAATGATAGATCTCAATGAATTTCCATGGGCAGCAATCATTACATTTTTCCCACTGTCGAGTTGTGGTACAATCTGCAACATTATACTTATGGGGTGAGATATAATGAAATAGAGGAAATGATTTGGTAAAGAAACACACAAATCTTCGTCTTACGTTCTCTTTAAAATAGGCAACAGCTCTTTCAGCACACATTTCCAAACTCTCACCATTCGGTGGAGGTATATCATAGCTGCGACGCCATTCGTGGACTTGCTCCTTCCCATACCTATCTGCTGTTTCCTGCTTATTAAGACCCTGCAATTCCCCATACCTACAAAGTAGTGCTCGTGTCATATCAAATGCTCCGAACATAACAAGCAGTAAGAAGATGGAGTGCAGAGTAAATATGCTTACATTCTTTCGTTTAATTGCCATGCTGTTACAACAGGGATGCACTGCTTGTTCGTCTCTTCACTAAAAATTTGACTCCATGATCTTGCCTGCTCGCTCTCATTATGTGTGATGATTGGCACCTGAATAAAAGTCGGAAATTATGAGCAAACTAAATCAAGGTATCTGTTCAATTATGTTATCCACACACCTTGAACTCTATTACACCAAAAAAATAAAGGAAAATGAACATTTTTGTATGGGTGACGAGGGAAACTATCAGCTACTACCCGAGGGTTTGCACTGGGTAAATCATGCCTTATGAGTTATGACCCTAGCTGACAAAGGACCACGAAGAGATAAACCAGCCTAGGTGATTTGGCTCAAACCAAGAAGGCCAATAAGCTGCTCCCGTTAGAAGTCAAACTTGTAACCTTGTCATTACCGAGTGAAAAGTCTTACCACATGTTTTTAGTTCAATAAGACATTTATTTATGAGATGCATACTATCTCCTAAAAAGACATTTTTCGTCCTCCAAAATGCAGTGCCTCGATAAATGGCCAGTGCAAGAAGTTTTACTGCAACATACCTTCTTGCGTCGGTGCTGGGTCATAGCCAGCATGGCAGTCATCTGTGCCCGAATCAAAGCAGATGTGTAGATCATGTCGACAGGTATGTTGCTGATTCGTCTCCCAGCTTCAATAGCCTCGTCCACGCCCTTTTTGGTCAAAGGCACATCAACACAACCAGTGAACAAGTTTTTCTCATTCCACATGGATTCTCCGTGCCTTATTAGGATCAAAGCAGCTTCCTCTGTAAAGATAAACAAAGAAAACGTCAAAGGGGTAGTACTAAATCGACTAATGGTAATGAATTCTGCAATCAACATGACATTACAATACGAGGTTCATGCTCAATTTATGTATTAAACAAAAAAAATAAAAACATGTCAAGGCTCAATTTCTCCTAAAATTCAAAATACAGCTTCATACTTGTTTTCTTCTTGGAATCATTTGTGGTGGTACTAGATGGAGAGGATATGACATCAAACATGGCTGTTTGAGACCCCGTGGCTTGAATTACACTGAAGCTTCGCTTCTTCAAGCAATGGCTCCCTCTCGCCCCGAATGCCACATCAACCCTAACGCCTTTCGAGATTAACTTCAACGAAGCAGCACTTCTAGAGTCCTGCTGGAAGCTAGAATGACTAATACACCCACCGGATTGAATTGCTCCAAGTACTTGGTATCCTGCTGTTGCCATTCTGAAAACTAAAACAACCATAAAAAGGGCTATAATTTCAGTGCCCATGAAACCACTGAAGCAAGCTCATTCAATAACAGCTGAGTATTATGTACTTCTAACTTCCTAAATGAATATGCACAAGTGAGAAACAGAAACCATTACATAATCAAATGTCCCACCTAAATTGCTCAAGTTTTCATCTAAAAACGCAAAACTCTTACCAATAAACAATCATACACAGGCAAATACAATGACAACAACAACAAAAAATCAAGTCTTTAAGAAAATAAGTTCTTGATCGAGATTAACAAACAGCTATTACAGATACAATAAGGAATCTACGAGAAAGGGCAACATTTAAATCCAAAAAACAATTGGAAAAAAAGAGAAAGAGAAATCAAGGAAACTCACATGAAGAAGGAGAAAAGGCGCAGGAAAGATTCGGGCGGGGAAGGGAATGATAAAGGAGAGATCTTGCTGGTTGTTGTGTATATATGGGGCAATGGCGGATTGGGTGCAAAAATGCGGATCGCGAAGAAACCGAGGCAGACAAAATTGATACTTGAGTTTATTCCGAGAAAAGTTGGCGGAGAAGAAGGAGGTAGACAGTGATTTGCAAGTCCGAAACCCCACACTTTCACGCAACGCCCAACCCAGCTGCGCCCTTTACATGCACTGGCAGTCGGGCAATTCTAGAGAGAGAGAGAAAGGTATATGCTTGAGAGTTTGAGAGATATCGCTTTCTTCCTAGGAAAGAACAGAAAAACGTCAAATTTTCTGCACTTTTTTGGATTGTTTCGCCAAGTGCCAAATTAGGGTTATATATATTAGAGAAGGTAACCATCTTTTTAGTCATTAGTATAATTGCTTTTTATCCGTAAAACTAATTATAATTCAACTTCAATTAAGACTCACATGAATCTTAATTCTAAATGGATAAAAAAATTTAATCCATACCTCTTTTGATCGGGTTTATAGTTTAACTAAATTGATCAAATAATTAATTTGATAGTCATATTTTTAAATTTGATTTTTTATAAATGTTATCTATTGACTTTCTTGATTTGAAAATTAATTAACTATAAATAATCTTAAAATGGTTTGAGGAACTGATAGATATTTGTTTTATTATTATTGTTGCCGTCATCTCCCTCTGATTGCAAGTCAATCAATCAAATAAAACCATCAAAAAATAATAATAATAATAATAATAATAATAAATTATAATTCAATATATAGTATCAAAGGATCCACAGGAAGTTTTCAAAATGACCTTTTGATGCCTTTTTGAGCCTAATGCCTCTTCACGCATATACAACTCAACTTTATTCTTCTTTTTTTTTTTTCCATATAAGAAGTTAAGAACATTGAAATTTGTTAATTACTGAAATTTAATTAGAAAATTTGATCACTATTATTTAAGGTTTCGATCTCAAAAGTTGTAAATAGTATATAATATGCTCATGACACAAGTAAAATATGATTACAATATTTGATCTACTTATAGTTATTCAGAATAGTTGAAATCTAATTTTACCATTCAAATAGGTGTAAGATGCATTGAATGATGGAATAAGAATTATTTTTTGTCGCTAAATTTCTACTTGTTTTTTTTTTTCCTAATTTTCTAAGGAGTTTTGGAACGTATTACCATAATAACATATGTTTAGAAAGTTTGCATTATATCCAGAAATATGTGATTGAGTGAAAAGAGGACAATTCTCATCATAAAAGTGTCACGAGTTTGATTATTGTCAACACCTTTCGGTCGAGTCAGTGACTTGCAAGCTTCGTCAAAAGTAACATATGATATACATAAACGCTGAGTAGTCAAGTACAAAGCGAATAATTACTGAAAGTATCTAACGATAAGTGTTATCGTATTATGATTCAGAACAAATTCTCTGCCATACAAATTGAAGACTAAAATTTTGAATAGTAAAAAAAATGAATATAAAATATAAATTTGTATACTTCAAGTATAAAGGTGTTGGGATCATGAATTTCACCTAACACCTCTTCGCAGGGCTAAAGAATCCAACCAACAAAATTTGATGAAAATACCTAACAAAACACACCTCTTCAAACGCCGCATTTAGTTTTAGCGTATCACCTAACTCGCACGTGACTCGTCACATCACGTGCTAATTGAAAATGGGTAACAGTTTTAACCAACTACCCACCACACCACCTTACTTTGACAGTTGACTACTAGATTTTGTCAATATGGACAGCTGCACTTCTGCAGCCTCCTCCCAAACAATCATATTCCTTCTGACCCACAAGGATATTCCAGGTTAACCGGAAGCTGGTGAAGAGCCAATTTCAATAATTTTGAAACTAGAAGTCGGGTTATTGGACGGAGGTTATAGTCTGAAAGTGTCAAGTTTAGCCTCTTACATTTTGAAAATGTGGTCATATAATGAAAATAAAATTAGTCTTCTTTATGAGAACTATAACTACTTTTGACGTAGTGGTAAGCACTTTATCATAACAAGTGATAACCGAGTCATGTGTGTGTTTGAGTCTTGACCAGTGTTGCAAAAATCGCGCTTAGGCGCTAGGCGGTCGGCCTCCTAGGCGCCCTAGGCAGTCCCCAGGCGCCTAGCGATTTTTTCAACATTGGTCTTGACTTCCAACAAAAATAAAGACTTGCAGGTCCTCAGGAAATTGTCCCTCTTAAGCTAGCTTGTAAGCACGACCAGACCTCCGCTCCGCGATTGAACTAACTTCTATAACTTTGTCTCATTGTCTATTTGCTACCCCAACTACTGTCTGCTTGAATGGTTAGCACGACCAGACCTCCGTTATTGAGCTAACTTTTGTATTGAAGTTAGAGTCACGTTGTCTCGACTTGTTATCCCAACCTTTGGATGGCGAAATTCTTATTCTTCTTCTTCTTATCGTCCCACTGCATCCATCATATAGTATGTGAGTGTTAATGTTAGTTGTTGATAGATAGTATTATGTATGCCTTAATTTCAACAGCTTGCAATCATTGTTGTATTTTGTTGGTTTAAACATGACTACTTGCTATTGCAGTAAGTTTATGAATCCTGTAGGATTGATCTGTTGAAGAACATTTTTTAATATTCCCATTCCATCTTCTTTTCACATATTTAATGTGTTTCATCTCAATTAAAATGTTTATAATTTGATAGTTGGATTGAACATATTTTTGACATGTGATTTAATGATTTACTCTGATGTCAAATTAAAGCATGTACTTAATCTAAACTAAAAGTCTAAATTGATAATTGGATTGCACATATATTTTATATATTACTCTGTATATATGTTCAACATACATATAACTATAGCTTCTTGGAGGCAAATGATGAAATGGTTAACAGTTTCTTGTATTTCATTGCTAGTGATTGGGCTATGGGGTATGGGCTTACTGGGCTAGGCATTGTTGAGAGCCCAAAGAAATAAATAATAAAATAAGGGAAAGGGTGTGGAATTGGTCTTGGGGTTTTTGGGTCAAGGGACTTGGGCTTGGGGGAAGGGAGGAAGGAGGGCTCATCAAGTGAAAGGAGCAATCATTATTGTGTGGACCATATTATCAAATAATGTACATTCTGTATATAAATAATGTACTTTTAGTATATTAAAAATGTACATTATATTCAAGAAAAGTACATTATTTTGTATAATGTACATTAAATACATAAATAATATATTTTTAGTATATTAAAAAAGTACTTTTTATTATGGTCCACACAATAATTTACCGTGAAAGGAGGAGAGAGGATAGATGGGGTATGGCCGGCTAGCAGGATGGCCCGTCATGCACCCATGGCTGAGGCGTGATTGAGTGAGTCTTATCACATGATTTAGTAACTTTTTAGGTGGAAGGATCAGTGTTTAGTACCAACAAGAGGATGAAACTTTCATACTATGACAGACAAAACCCGATGTTCATAAAAGGGTAAAACTCGCATACTACAGTTGACAAGATTTGATATGGGAACCAACTAATTAAATTACTTATGAAGTTATTTTGTAAATTAATGAATATTACTTTATATTATTATCATTAACCTATAAAGTGATCTGTAATCATTAGTTGAATGTATGTACTTAGTAAACTCGCTATTGGGCACTATTATAGCATTATGGTCCAGAAGGGCAAAGTAGCTTTACATAAAGTATATGCACAAAATATCTACTCTTTTGGCTTTGGGTGCAGACAATTTCGCCATCAACCTAACTGTTCTTCCTTCATGAATTAAGAATCTTTGATTGGACCACGCCACCAGCTGATCACAAGGGCTTTATTTGTGTGTAACAATTAATATGATTATTTTATTCTTAATTATACTAATATTTTCATATTGTAGTTCTTATTTATCAATTTTAGTTCTCATATTAAAATTTTTGCTTGAATACAATGGAGAACCTCACGTATCACACCTATACTAAAAAAATTACCATGAATACGATTTTTATGAACATTTTAATTTCGATTATTAAATTATAGTAGTTAAATTTAGTTTTCGGTTATCAAACCATTGGTTTCAATGAAGAAATTCTCAAATGCATCAACAACTGGCATAATTTAAAGGTATAAAACAATAAATCATTTTACTTGTATCATTGCTGAGCTTTCCGACAGAGATTTTCATTTGAACTTATTTATACAAGTTAATGAGGATTTCTTAGAAATGATAATAACAACTATTTGTACTAGTAAGTTTACTTGCATTTTAAAAAAAAATTAAAATAAAATTATGTTAAGAGTAAAACTCAAACTCTGCAGGCACCGTGCTAAAGCGTTATGATCCCGGAAATAAAAGTTAAATTATGCTAGCATAGTTCGAGCAAAATCTAAATTAGTTTCATAGTAACCTGGTGTTGTATTCAAAAAAAAAAAAAAAAAAAGTTAGGGTGGAGTTAATAAGTTAGTGATATCTAGCTCAATGCATTTATTGTACCAAACCTATTATTAGTGGGTTCAAAATGAATTGAGTTTTGTGTCGCTATAGTCTGAATTCGTAATACTTTGCATTTAGAATAATGTATAATGTACTTTATATGTTAGAATAATGAAATTTTTGGCTTAAAATAACACATTTTATGAGTTAGAATAATGTGTTTTATATGTTAGAATAATGCATTTTATGAGTCAGAATAATATAATGTACTTTATGTGTTTTTGGACCGTGATCCACGCATTAATGATTGCATAAACCAAAGGTTGTGTTATGCACTGCAGTTTTCCGCCTAACAATCCAAAAAAATATGCAATTTTCACCTTATGGAGTTTACTTACTATTTCTTTGTCTATTTTCATTATGTTTACACTTGATTATATATAGATGACTCACACAAGTAATTGAAAAAAAAATGATCGATAATATTATTTAATGAAGAAAATATTGTGGCTCCACTATTTTTAGTCAATTGATGCACGCGGTAATAAGTGAAAAACATGACAAAAATGAAAAGAATTAGTATTGCCCAATAATTGATACCAAAAGTCCTAAAAATTTCGGAACCAACCTAACAAGTTGGAGTCTTGCACAATATTTAAATTGATAAATATCGACAAATACCATTATTCAAAATTCCAAATCTTAATTACAATCTCAATTGCACTGGTGAAATTCGTCACAAGAATTAAACATGTAATCTCTTAATTATAAAATTTCCATTTTAACCAAGACTTTATTGTCTACTTGATCATAAATTAACCACTCTCATTTAATAAAGAGTTCACACAATAATTAAATAAAAAATTAATATAATAATAACATATCAAAATAATTGTAACAATGAAATATATCATGATTCTTTTCAAATTTATATGACTCGGGGCTCTAGGCAATTATTGGGGACTTAGCAACCTTGTAGGAGTGTTGAGGTTACTATAAATTTTGTAAGTAAGCTGCAAGTTGAAGTATTTTGTTGGTTTAATGTATATATTATAAAATCAACACTCAATTTATGATTAAAAAGGAGGGAATAAAAAAAAGTCCACATAAAATTATTAGTTTAGTGAATAAGAAGATTCACTTAAGACTTGCTTTCAGCAGCAATGTAGGAATTTGAATATTTCTGCCACCAATATTGAAAATTTAAATTTGGGATTGCCTCATTATGCGCAGAAGTGTATGTAAAAATTTGACAAAAAAATATTGAGGTAAGCCTACCAATTGAGGGATTCTGTACGGCGGGTTTAATTTAGAGAGTGTAATTTTTTTTTATTTTCTTATATTTTTAATTACAAGAAAAATCTGCAATCACTGTCCAATGATGTACACGGGGTAAATCGTAAATTCCGCCCTTATGTCATAGCATGCAAACTATATAGGAGATGTAAACTGTATTAGAAATATTATGTATGATAAAGTCGACCAAACAAATGTTGATAATAATTAAACTCGTGATTTTTTTATATGTGAATTGTGCTCCGTCCACTCAATCACCTGTTTCGGGGAAATAGAGAGTTTCTTTGATTTCTAAACTTCTTGTCGTTTCATATAGGTAGAACCGTAGAAATTAATTTTCTTATTTTGTTACGTCATATTGTTGTTGAATGTCAATTGGAGATTTTCAACCAAAAAAATGGCAATAAATTTTTTGACAATTGGGCATCGACAAGTTTTATAGTCATTGGCCCCTTTTCTTAAAAGTTGCAGTAACGTACTTCACGGACAACAAGAAATTGCCCCATCACGACGTTAACACAATTCAACTATATGTTCGTCACTACAAGAAATTGCCCCAATTACTTAACATACTTCTTCATTTTTATTTGTCTATTTCAGGCTACCTTGTTTGATCTCACCTGGAGTTTCGATTAAGGATGTTTAGTCCACGTTATGTGTTTAGAAATTGTGATTGTATTACTTAATTAGAAAAATATTTCGATTAAGGATGATTAGTCCACGAGTTTTATTTTGTTCAATACATTTTCGGTTGAACACATTGCATTTGGACTTTACAGTGCAGTTTGTCTCTTTTGTGTGATTTGTGAATTATTATACATAAGCTAAGCAGAGTTTACCCAATGCACACTCTCGAGTATTTCTCTCTAAAAAAAAAAGAAATCAAAATGCATTTATGTAATAGATGTAACACAATCGTAATGTATTTTTTTAGTCACACTTGTGTGAGACTGTCTCAGGATCTTAATATGTGAGATTAGTCGAATCTAAGATAGTTGCTTGTTATTATTATGATATAAATTATAATACTTATGACAGAAAATTTAATATCAAATTAAAATAAATAAACAGTTACTACTTATAATAGATATTGTAATATTTATATGTAAAATTGGGATACTATTTAGAGTAAAATGATTGTTACTAATGATAAATGTTATAATACTTATAACTGAAATTGTGATACTTACAAAGTGTAATTATAATGTAAATATTGTAATACTTATATGTGAAATGTTACTTATAAAATAAATTGTAATACTTATTGTAAAAAAATTAATACCAATTTAAATTAAAAATAAACCGTTACTTATAATCAATATTGTAATACTTATATGTAAATTTGTGATACTATTTATAGTAAAATTGATTGTTAAATAATGATAAATATTATAATATAACTAAAATTGTGATACTTACACACTCAGTTGTTTACAACTTGATTTGTCTCACGGACAAAAATATGTGAGACAACATCACACAAATTTTTGCCATTTTTTTACATAATTATATTAATAGAAATTATATTGAATTGAATTTCTGCAATCATATTAATTGCAGGTCATTTTCCTTTGCCCAATTATGTAACTAATAATGAACTTATTTGTCCGTATCATATACAATGTTTTGGATAGTCACGGATTGAGACTCTTCGCCTCTTCAGTATATACAATTTTAATTAAAAATTATTCACAACTTTCTCTCAAGTCTCAATTACATTTGATATATATAAAGTTTCTACGACTTTATAAGAGAGGAGAGAACGATATATATAAAATAAATGGGAAGTTAAAAATAAATTAAAGTAAAAACGAAATTACACCAAAATTGTCCTTGTTTATTTGTCAATATAAAAAAAAATAATGTATAAAAATATATGATTTAAAAAATTCAAATTGAAATCATTTAAATAACACTATATTAAAAAAAATCAATTTTTAAAATAAATCTACATGTACATATTAATACTTTAGGTGCTTGTAATAATTTTCTTAGATAAAAAAATAGAGTGAGATCTGAGTTCTTGATTTAATCTAACGATGATTCATGGCCATTGGAATATCTCGATCTCTTCCAATGATAATTGAAACAAACGCACTCATTCATCATCATACCACTTTATATATAGGTGTTTCTTCACTCCTCACCACCAAGCTAGAAAAAAAGATATATAGAAGTGTAGACGTAAATTGTGTAAAACTATTAAGTGCATACAATGATAGGTAAAAGTAGACTTAAGAATACATGTACATATACCCTATGATATGTAAAAGTTTAATAGATTGAGAGAATAACTGTACTTTGTAGTTTTGCTTGGTGCACTTTTACATACACAATAATTTTACAAGAAAATTTGTTCTCACATGAACTGACCCGTGTGTGGTTGTGAGAAATGTATTTGATAGAAGGTTTTCGCTTTTCGATAGCCTTGCGTATTTTTGTCTTTAAAATAATAACTACACCCTTTTGATTGAGTCTACAACACAAGATCTTCGTAGTATAATTTACCTATTATGTATAATTTATAAATTATTTCACAAAAATAAAATTTATTCTGTTTACACCATCGAATAATAATTATAGATTTCCTTGTCATTCAAAAATAATAATTATTTACTGTCATATATTTTTAATTTTTTATGTCTTCTCCCAATAACATGGGAGGCAAGTGCACTCTTTTACTCACTCATCATCATCATCGTCATCACCATCAACGGTCCAGATTCTCTACCCACTCTCTGGCTCTCCCTTTATCTCCCCTCCCCTTCTCCAATCTCCCTCTCTCACTCCTCTTTCTCTCTCTAAAACCCTCTCCCCGCCTTCCATCTCCGCCGCTCCTCCGCCATCTAACACCCTCCACATATATCCATACATATAGATACAGACAGCCACAAGAGATCAGAGAGAGAAGGCGTAAAAAAATGTTGCTGGGGAAGAGGCCGAGGCCACCGATGAAAAGAACCACAAGCATGACGGAGTTTACGTTGGATCTAAACGCCGGCGGCGGCGGGCAAGCGTCCCAGGCTGCCGCCGCTTCCAACCCCGCTGCCGCCGCCCTAGATCAGCGCATCATGTCAGCCGCCACCGTCTCCGCTCGACCCCACCGCCGGAAATCCGCAGACTTCGTCGAAACCGCCCACTTCTTACGCGCGTGTTCCCTCTGTAAACGCCGCCTCATCCCCGGCCGTGACATCTATATGTACAGGTACATATATACATACACACATACTTTTGTAGCAGAATTAGGTTCTCGAGTTGAGTGTTTTGCGTTAATTGTATATACACATATTTTGTATATATGCATGCATATATAATTTCTCATATGTTTGATCATTTTAGAAAATTATTGTAGTTTCATTTTTTCAATGATTTATATTAACTTTCTTAATTTGAATCAGTTAGTTACGAGAAATTTAATCAGATTTAACTTCTCTTGATCTTTTATGAGTTAAGATTATAACCTAGTATCTTTTAATGAATTAATTAATGATAATTAATGTTTTTTTGTGTGTTTTTCAGAGGAGACAGTGCATTTTGCAGCCTAGAGTGTAGACAACAGCAGATGACACAAGACGAGAGAAAAGAGAAGTGTTCGTTGGTGGCATCTAAGAAGGAAGCCATGGCGGCGACCTCCGCCGCGGCCGCCACCGGATCGGAAGTCGTCGCCGCCACCGGCGAGAGCATCGCCGCCCTGTAGATTTAGTTAGCTGTATTAGTATTATTAGAAACTAGTGGACCGCAACATAAGGATCGATGACATGTGTGTATGTCCCCACATATATTGTTATTATTATTAGTACTACTATTATTATAATTATTATGTGTATTTTTATATATGGTGGGAATTTATACACTTTTTTTTGGAATGGTTTTTTTTTTTTTTTTTTCCTCAAGTTGGTCCAACTTGTAAAATTCAAAGCCTCAAGTGGCTTGTGTTATGGATGGGTTTGTGGATGAAAAATATTAATCTGTATGTTGTATGCCACTTATTATTCGATCTTGTAATTATATTAGTATAATTTTTTTTAATATTTTAATATGTGACATCATAAGTGATAAAATTGAGAACGAAAAAAAGAAGTGTAAGTAAAAAAAAAATACCATGTCATCATCAACATCAGTTTAGTAAGTTAGTACGTCCAAAATTTCTAACCATCTCATTATTAGATGGTTGTATTGGTTGACATCTCATATATCTATCAAAAGTGATCAAAAAGACCGTTTCGACCACAAATCCTAATTTTATGATCTAATCAATTTTTCGAGTCATACTAGTTGGACCTATAATATTATAAACTTGTTTAAGAATACTTCAACATCAACCCCCAATTTAATTTGTGTGTGTGTATATATATATATATATATATATATATATATATATATATAGGCTTCCTCTTCTTCTTTTTTGCTAACTAACCCGGCCATATTTCTCTACTTGGTTGGATCGGACTATATCTGAAACCTCGATCATCAACTGGCTGCTAATACGCCCATTAAGAAATAAACTGATTGAGGCGATTTACTCTTTCAAGATTCAATATCAAAATGTATACTTTTACACACATATAATTCAATCTAAACCTAAAACAGTAATGTTTGTGACAAGTTAAAAAACGATATAAAATCTCGATTATAATATTATATATTATCATATTTTGGGTATTGGACGGCGGTGTGCATGCAGTTTGAGAGATTCCCTCTCGATCTGATCCAGTGAAGTTTGCTTCTTCTCACTGTTGCAGAGACATGCCAGCTTAAGAACATCATTAAAGTAATATTATTATTGTTAATGGTGCTTTATTTTATTCTGATTTATGGAATTTATCAAATTATATTTAAACCAAGTTGTGATTTACAACTTTCTGCCATGAGATATTTTAGTTTTCCAAAGAAATACGGAGTAATAATTATTTTAATTTTTGAATGTATAAAGTAAAACCCTTAATACTGTATGTGGCAGTTAAAGTATATTTATATATAAATTCAATGATATGTTGCATCTCAAGTTGGTTATTATGATATCAAAATTAAATTAAAAGATATGTGTCGTTTCAATTAAGGCTATGTTTGGAAACCCGGAAAATGACTTCTGGAAGTCATTTTCCGAGTTTTTGGTGTTTGGCTACACTTGGAAAATCCAGTCAACGGAAAACATTTTCCGTTGACTGGGGAAAATGAGCCCAATTTGGCGGAAAATGACTTCCGCCAAATTTGGGCGGAAGTCGTTTTCCGCCTTTCTCTTTCGTTTTTTTTTTTTTTTTTTTTAAATCTGGCGGAACACAGTTCCGCCAGAAACCATAGCTATGGTTTCCGGCGAACCCAACTGGGTTCCGCCGGAAGCCATTTTTTTTTTTTTTTTTTTGTTTTAAAAATATAAAATGAATTTTTAATTCAAAATAAAATATTTAATTATACTATTCTACTCATTTTTCAGAAAATGAACCAAACACACCAAAACAGTTTTCCAAATGCAACCAAACACTGGAAAAGGAAAATATTTTCTGGAAAATGACTCATTTTCCAGAAACTATTTTCCAGAAGTCATTTTCCTGCTTTCCAAACGGACCCTAAGAGTATAAGTTGATATACTGCTCACCATGATCCTATCCTGTGACATTTTTTCAAGTAGAGGCATATATGTGTCAATTAAGCACATGGTGATTGACACATCCGTTATATTTTATAATTCAATATGAATAAAAATACGGATCAGTATAATTATAGTTGAACTCTAAAATTGTATATATATATATATATATATATATTAAAAAGTAATACTTCTTTTATATCATTAGAAGATACATTATATTCAAATTTCATAAAATACAAAATTATGGGCTTGATTTCTCCTTATATGAGTAAGAGCCTAACTCTATGGAAGTAAATTGTAACATGTGTCAAATCTGAATTAGTTTCACAGTGGTGATGATACCGGATATCGTATGTAACAACATTTATAAAACATAGAAAATAAATTTGAATATTATTCCATGTTTAAAAAACAAAAAAAATACTAGTAGGTTTGTTCCATAAATGCAAATGAAATTAAAAATAAATAAATAAATATTTTCTTGAAATTTATTTATTTTTGCACAGGAAAGCTACTATTCCATGCCTCCAGCTCACATGTTGGCCTAGAAACTAGAAAGCATCTTCTCATATATATATATATATATATATATTTGTTCAAATGTCTTGATTAATGATAGAGTTTTCATGATATATTTGTTGTATTAATATCTATGGCTGTATCATTTTAAAACAATAAAAAATAAAAAATTGTCTTAATTAAAGACTCATTTTAATGACTGTAATTATTGTTGAATTTACACACGATAGTATTATTCATTGAGGAGTTGTTTTGTCTGGCCATAGTGTGATGCAGAGTAGTCCCCACATTTCAATTTCATGTCCTGTACCAATATTTGTCATTCTTCAAGACAAACAAATACAAATTGAAATGATTGAAAATGAAATTAATTTGGTGTGTGTTGTGGAAAAAATAGCTTAAAATGACATAAAATGACATGTTAAGTGGTTATTTTGTGGTACAATTATCAGTGGGGTCCACTTTTGATTTGGGACGGGTCAAAGTGGATTCGGGTTCTTCGTAGTGAGACGAAGAGATTGATATATTGTATGCTCAAAACGGATAATGGGTGAATGAGATATTTGATTCTCAAAATAGACCCATTTGAGTTGGAAAATGAAGGGAAAAGTGAGCTTTTGTCCCACATTGATTTGGAAAGAGGATTTGACCCCCCTTTTATACAAGAGCTCTTTTGGAGCTTATAGAATTGTATAGCATAGAGGCTCTCTCACGCAGGGAGTGGTGATTTTGCAAATCAAATTCCAACAACTAGAAATGAGATAAAAAATGCTTGATTCAAGCCCGAGCTCTTGTGCGCGGGCAGTACCATCAGTTCTCTATGTTGTCCCTGAATTCATTTGTTACGGCCTGTTGGAGAGCTAATCCTTCAACCCTATATAAGAGAGGGTAGAGGCAAACGGCCTGTTGGAGAGCCAGCCCTATTAAAAGCTATTTAATCCTTCAACCCTATATAAGAGAGGGGCTATTTAATCCAGAATTTTTTAACACAACAAGAAACAAGAGCTCTTTCTAAGCTTACTGTGTTCAAAACCTTGCTCTGTTCGCCGGATTCCTTGTTTGGGTGCTCAAACATTGAATCACAAGCAAGTTTTATCCTTGGAAGCCTAGGCCACGAAACTCCTAGCATTTTTGGGAGGTGGCGAATAAGGTTTTAAGGAAAGAGTGATCGCTTGACTCTTGCAAAAACCCAACACCAAACACTAGCCAATTTCTCCATCTTCCTTCCATTGTTTTCCAGAAAAATAATAATCTTATTTATTGAATTATTATTTATTTTTCTACCAACATATCCAACATGTGTGTGTGTTACCATTTGTTCCGAATCCTCAAAAGTTATAACATTTTAATAGGAATAGTAGAACCACAACACTTTGCACCTTGTATTCCATCTTTTAAGGCCGTAAGTATACACACAACCCCTTTAATTTTGAACTCAAGTTTAAGTTATACCTTGACTGAAAGAGCATCGAAGGGTTGTAGCAAGGTCAAGTAGAGGTTATTTTTTATTTTATTATTTTTTTTTGGGAGGGGAGGGGGGATTACTATAGATTTATTCTGTTAAGATTGTCAATTAGAACAACCACACGTTGATACTAATCATATTTGTGTTGGGTAGAATTTCAAAGCATAAATTTGTGGTTAAATTGAAAGAGGTACACGTTTTCTTATCCACCCCCAATAAATTATGTAGTGGGCATATTTTGAATTCGAGTAGATATAGGTATTTGAATTCAATTCAACAAACCTTTGCCATATCCTAAGTAGTACGCCCAGACCCTAGTAGATAAGGTCGACAATTTCTCTATAATCTCACGGAGATCCTCGACCCCCTCTTCAATGGGGATGTGGATAAAAATTCAAGGAATACAGATGGATAAAAATTAAGAAGAATTGAACACTCAAGTACTAGACTAATATTTGATTTTAGTAGTTTGACTTAAGAATTTAATATTTTAATTTTTTATTTAAAAATTAAAATTTGAACTAATGTACTAGTTTGACCGAGATGAGTAATCCCCATGTCCAAAAATTTCCCGAACGGGAATGAACAAAATTTTCTATTCTAGTATTCCCCGGTGGCCAGTGGGGGTGGGGAGCGGGGCAGGGACATGGAGTGTACTCTCTGTCCCGTTGACATCCTTAAAACTCTAGTCACTTCAAAGACAAACCATTTTTTGATAATATAAATACTCATGCGTGAATTGCTTTTAACATATATAATAAATAATAAATTAACAACCACAAATAAATAACAAAGAATCTAGATGGGTAAAACACTTTGGAGTAATATAAATTAAAATATAACAACGAACAAACATATTTTCATCAGATATGGTCGGAATTAATCAAAGATATGCCCAAAGAACATTAATTTAATGATGTTATGATGTGTTAGAACAAAATAATGTTAGTAAGATAGGTATGGAGAAGCTACGATACAAATCAAAAGTTGGACATCCAATTGGAGGGAGAAGAATTTGTGATGAGATGCAATAATGTTAACAACATGGTGGGATGCTTCTTCCAACATTTTGAATTGCTTTATTCTTTATTTGATTCCCTCTTTGTTTGAGAACATAAAATTATATTCTTGTTCTTTTCTTTTCTTTTTTTCTAAAAGAATATTCACACATTCATATTTTATGTCCAATTGTTCAATTTATATACTCTTAAGGTTTGTCGTACGTATCATGTTCCATGCTAACATGGGTGTGTTCAAGAATTTAAATACTATAGGGAGTATTTTTTTTTTTTTTTTTTTGGATTATACGATAAGAATTAATTGTTATTACGCGATAGTGTATACTAGATAAATCATATTTTGCATATGTTAACATGATTGAATTTATAATATTTTTAAAAATTTTTTCATTGAATACTTGTAATTAACATATTATTGCTAGGCGAACACAATGAGAGTGTATATGAATATAGATACGTTCCATCATATTAAAATATGCTTTGTATGTTCTATTTAAATTAAAAATATTTTTGGGGTGTTTGGTAAATAATTGTTAGTTGATTGGGTTAGTGGGTTTGATTAGTTGATTGTAGAAAAATGTTTGGTAAATTAGTTGTTAGTTGTTAGAAAATTACTTTGAACATTTTTTTTTAAATTTTTTTGAATTTTAGAACAATAAGTTGTTAGAAAAAAACTAATTAATCAAACACTCATAATGATTGCTTAACAACTAATAGTGGTCAAATAATTCAAAATAATTTGTCATCCAATTTGTATTAAAATATATATATATATATATATATATATATATATATATATATATATATATATATATATATATATATATATATATATCTGCTCGCATGGGCTTAGCTCAATGGTTTCAGTGGACAGTATTTGGGATAAGAGACCAAGGTTTGAACCTCGGATTCCTTACGCGTACCGGCATTTGGCCTTGTTCGCTGAACCGATTGAGTCACCGTAATTTACATTTTTCCAAGTACTTTGACGGAGTTGGGGATTCAACATTTTGGGAGAAGAAAACAAAAATATCAGTTCCGTATGTGAATTGAATATTATAATGCAATTGAATTGTTTATAATAATAAATACAGATTTACTAATTTATACATTGATTATGGTCAAGACAACTAAGACTACTTTTTAAACATAATGTGTGTACTACGTTGCTTCCAAGGTTTGTATATGTGTGCTTGCCAATTATATTGCGCCTTTGCCCTCTGCTGTGGATTAGGAAACAAACAGGGACAATTACTTAATTAGTACGGAGTAATTTTTTTTTTTTTTGGAAAGCATAATACGGAGTAATTAATTATTGGAAATTGTACTTTGATTGTTTCCCACACAAAATTAAATATACTCTAAACATTTTGGGTTAAGGTTAATTATTATTGTTTCCGAAAGGTTGAATCTTCAACTCTAAAGGTCTTCATGCCCTAGCTGATAGAGCCGCATATGAGAGGATGTTGTTGTTGTTGTTGACTTGATCATATCACAAGTTTCTTCAACTAGAACTAGAAATCTAGAATTACACATTAAAACTAAGGAATAAGGGTCAAATAGGTCATCGAACTGCACAAGATAATGCAATTAGGCCACTGAACCTAAAAAATCAACAATCGGGTCCCTAAACTAACCAATTTCATACAAATCTTCCAATTTGTAGGTTTCCAACAAATTAACAGGTCATCCTCCCAAATTAATTATTTTTAAAAAAATAAAATTTAAAAATTAATTATTTAATTAATTAAAAAAAAAACAAAAACAGAAACGGCCGGAGACGAAGAAACTTCTTCGTCTCCGGCCAGTTTCTTCGTCTCCTCGGCCGGAGACGAAGAGTTTCTTCGTCTCCGGCAATGGAGACGAAGAGTTTCTTCTTCTCCATGGGGAGACGAAGAGTTTCTTCTTCTCCATGGGGAGACGAAGAGTTTCTTCGTCTCCGGCCGGGGAGACGAAGAAACTGGCCGGAGACGAAGAAGTTTCTTCGTCTCCGGCCGTTTCTGTTTTTTTTTTTTTTTTTAAATTAATTAAATAATTAATTTTTAAATTTTATTTTTTTAAAAATAATTAATTTGGGAGGATGACCTGTTAACCTGTTGGAAACCTACAAATTGGAAGATGTGTTTGAAATTGGTTAGTTTAGGGACCCGATTGTTGATTTTTTAGGTTCAGTGGCCTAATTGCATTATCTTGTGCAGTTCGATGACTTATTTGACCCTTATTCCTAAAACTAATTATATTTGTGTCGAGTTGGATCCCAATGAATAACAAAACACTCTGATCCCTTCATGACTGGGTGGCAAAGCACTCCCCTCATGGGGTTTAAGGTATGAGACTTTTGGTTAAGTTAAAAATGATCTGGCCAGTTTCATTTACAACCCCGTTTTTAGTACTATTGACTCTATTACGTACATTGTAGTATCTATCCATCTATACTTTCTCAACTTATTGAAACACAAAGAGTCAAAAAGTCAACACCACTTCCACTGATACTTGATCTCATGATATCTCATATAAGAGAATCACTACATGCAATCTGTACTTTTTCAACATGTTATTTCTGCTATTATTATTATTATTATTATTATTATTATTATTATTATTATTATTATTATTATTACAAATTAAAATAATATATAGTGGGTGGTAAATAATTGCATTGAAAAAACACAACCTGACGAGACCAAGTTGTGCAAGTGGGCATGTGTCCACTTCCAACGTTGTTGCTCAAATCTTATTTATTTAGTTTTCCTTACTAATTTAATGAATTGATTATGAGGTTTCATTAGTGTAGTCTAATGTCATGAATTACAACTAATGCGTATTTTTTAATCCCAATATCGGTGAGCTATCAGCTATATATGTCACCCCCTCCAAATATTCTTGCCTTCTGTCACTCTCTTTATCTTTTTTTTTTTCCCCCTAATTTTATTTTTGGAACCATATATTTTATTTGAACTAATTTCACTTTTGGTCCCACGACTTTAGAGGTTCTATCATTTTTGGTGCACAACTTTAAATTTTTTCAATTTTGGTGTCTAACTTTATTATTTTTATCAATTTTGGTCCTTTCGATCAAATTGACTGCGAAATATTGCCGGATTTTACATTTTAGGGGCAAAATCGTCATCCCAAGGAAAGATATTCAATATCTAAACAAAAGAAAA